TATTAGAACAATGAATAATGTTAAACTCACAAGTGGAGAGCAGAGAAGTCTGCTCTAACTTTATCCGCTTCTTGTATAAAGCCAACAGGTCATAGGACAGCAGCAAGTTGAAAGAAACACTTTTTTATTTCCAAATAAATCTTCACAATATTAAAAATAGTCCCCCAAGTGGTATCGCTTTGCTCACTCAGTCTCTCTTTGGAAGGCGTACTGCATACAGTTTCGCTGCCGGCTAGCACCGTACCGCAAACACTTCCTGGAGGCGGAGCCTAATGACGTAACCACGGGACGTACGTGATGACGCGTTTCGCCACAAAATCGGCTTCCTCAGATCACACTTCCATTCTGCTGCTGCCTTGCTTTTAAGTCCGTTTTCGAGAGAACGTGGACATACACCTGTGAAAACGGACTTAAAAGCAAGGCAGCAGCAGAATGGAAGTGTGATCTGAGGAAGCCGATTTTGTGGCGAAACGCGTCATCACGTACGTCCCGTGGTTACGTCATTAGGCTCCGCCTCCAGGAAGTGTTTGCGGTACGGTGCTAGCCGGCAGCGAAACTGTATGCAGTACGCCTTCCAAAGAGAGACTGAGTGAGCAAAGCGATACCACTTGGGGGACTATTTTTAATATTGTGAAGATTTATTTGGAAATAAAAAAGTGTTTCTTTCAACTTGCTGCTGTCCTATGACCTGTTGGCTTTATACAAGAAGCGGATAAAGTTAGAGCAGACTTCTCTGCTCTCCACTTGTGAGTTTAACATTATTCATTGTTCTAATAACAAAATTTATAATACTGTATTACACTATGTTCTCTTATTTATTTTTTATACATATGTATGCAAAACTGGAGTAACCAGACCTAAGGTACATATAGCGGGGTATTGTAAGTGCTCCGTTTTTTCTACTAATTTTTCACCAATACACTGTTATAAAAGTGGTATTTGTAGATTACCAATTTTCACCAATATATTGGTATATAAGTGATATTTGCACACTTGCACCTTTTTGCACTATTGTAGAGTGTGTAATAGCAACACATTTATTAAATAGAGTTTGTGTGTTTTTTTGAAGCACTGGAGTGTTTTTAAAGGTTTTGAAATCTGTTTTGAAACCTCTTACTGTGTTTAATATCCATTTGAGAGCATTTTCACAGTTGATAAAAATGGAATAAGCGGCCTACAATAGGTACATTTGAATAATGTAGGTTCATTACCAGAAACAGTGCGACCGCGCAGGGAAGCAGATCCATGTCCTCAGAAGGACCCTCTATTTGGGAACAGCTGTCAGTGATAAGGGCAGGTAAAGCCCATGTTGCAGTTGTCGTTTGGTCGAGGCCTGTAGTCTGTGAATGCAGCTCTGCTGGTGGCATGGTCTCGAAAGCGACCAGCTCTCCCAGAAAAACGATTATGTGAGCGGAATACCCTGCGTAGGGATGATTGTGCTCTATTCAGGGAGGTGAACACTGAGATGTGCTTGTTCAGGTCTCTCATGAAACTATCTCCAAAGAGAAGACCATTTGCATATGGACCTAATACTTCATTACTAATTTGGTGTCTATTTAGAACAAGGCAGCTTTGCGTCTCTCTGTAGAGATAGCCACATTGGCGTTACCTAGGAGGCATAGTGCCCTTTGAGCCCACTCGTGCACCATGTGCGGGTCTAATTCACCGCTCGTAAGAGCTTCTTCAGCCAATATAAAAATTTGGATCAATGGTCCGGTAACATCCAAGATTTTATTGTGTGCCGATTTGAAACATTGTTCAATACCTTTGCGTGGTCTTTCCCTCGATTTAGTTAGGAATGTGACAAATAGAGGATCGAAGTCAGGAGTTAAGGCCACTTTAACCGGTATGGTGTGCTGGGGACATTCAGCTCGTAATCTGGTTCTAATCTCTTTTTCTAATGGCTTGCTGAGCCATATCTTGCAGAAATTCCTGATATGGTCTGGTGGTGCCCACTCGGCAGAGCGTGGGTACTGAATAATACATGGGTCAAAAAAGGGTTGCCAGATGCATCCAGAAGTGTGTCGGTAGACTGGTCTGGAGTCTTTATTTTGTCAGAGTAATTTTTTGACTGAGTAGGCTGTGTAACAAAGAAGACTCTTTAACGTATATGGACGAAGAGGAATCTCGGGGCATATTTACCATGAGATCCTCTTCCTAATAGTCGTCATAATATTCATCTAGAACCTGGAGATTCTGGTGCGAAGTAGAACCCTCTAGAGGGTCTAACTTTTGTAACGCAGGTGGTGTTAAAGATAACTTGACAGATTTAGCTGGTGCTTTACCTTTGCCCGCTGATGCGCTGTCCCCTTTCCAAGGGTGCTTGCGCGGGGCTTCCTGTTGATCTGACATATGAGAATTGTCTGAATCAGAATCTGCATGAGCAGGAGGTTGTGAGACGCTTAAAGGTTGCTGCTATAGCCTTAGAAATAAAATCCGCTATAGCGGAGCAGAGCAAAGCACGAAGATCAGTGGAGATTGTAAGGTCTGATTGCTCAGACATTCTATAATAAATGTATGAAAATAACTATGTACAAGCTATAAAACAAAGTAGTATATATTTGAAAAAAGGTTTCAGATATATATATGTTGGAATATTGGTGGGGTTACCACACGTGAATAATAAGTTGGGGTCACCCAACGTAAATAAAGTGGGGTTAACCACTTAGAAATATTAAGGAAAGTGGGGTCAGCCACAACACGATATGGCATAGCTGGGGATCACCCACAAATATTTGTGTAATAAAGTGGATTGAACAGTCAATTCGATGCAGTGGGGGTCACCCACAAAATATATCCCTGGTTAGGGAGTTTAGATATATATAAACAGGGGGTCACCAAATTGTAAGGCTCAAACAAATAAAAAAATACAGGGGTCAACTGTGTGAATTGAATAATAAATCAATTTCATATGTGGTGGTCAGCCACAGAATTGTAGTGTTCGTTTGGCAGAGGGGGAGCAGGCCAGAGCACATCAGAGGATAGGGGAGCAGTATAAAACTGGCAAACAGTAAAAGTGGATGGAAATAATGTAACAAGTACTTATAGATAGTTAGTTGAAGGTGTATAAGGAAAAACAAATATAATATAAAATATAAGATCACAAATATATCATATATGAATAAAAGTCAAAATATAGGAGACTATAATTAGAATAGACTCACCTGAGAGGCAAGCAGCAAAGAAAGAGGAGTTGGGAGGAGCAAGATTACAATACATACTACTGTCATGCTCTCTGATTAGTTGATTTTTATTTATCTATTGTTAACTGTTTCTTTGCTGCTGGAGGTTTCAGTAAAGAAAGATATGCAAATATGAAGCCTCCTATCTTGCCATACAATTCAGTTCTCAGTATACCAAGAATTGACTGTCAGGTTAAAGCAAGACTTCAACTAAACTCAGCTCTGCATGCAGGGACTCATAGGGAGGGGTGACATGTGGTAGTAACATGGCGCCTCATTGACTGGTGGCTAGAGTTTCCGGAATTGGAAGATGGTGTGTTGTGTTTGGGAGAGGTGAGTAGGTTATCGATAAATTACAAGGCTGATACCGATTATCAGAAATATGCTAGATATCAGCAGAACCGATCATCGCTTTATCTCTAATCTGGAGGACATCAACCCAGCTTACTAGCAACATTACTACTATAATGATCTTTTGTGGTTATGTTGCTTAGACTAGCAAGCAGCGTTATTCAAAATCTGTGAAAGGTGAAAAACATAGAGCGAATTCCACATTTTAGGACAAATTTAAAGGACCACTCCAATTTAGCATTAAGCACGAGAACTAATGGATACTCCAGCTTAGAAATTTCCAGTTCTCCGGAGATGATTGTATAAATTGGGAGCGGTGCCTGTCTGTTCCCAGGAAATAAGCAAATCGGTTCACAAACGGTTTGGCACATTGCAATTAGTTGGGGGGAGGGAAGATATGTCAATTGTTTTTATAGCTGGGTCTTAAGTATATGTTTATCAATAGTTTATGCTAATAAAAATTTAATTCAGAAGTTGTTTTGATATCTTATATAAATAGACTAATTTGTAGACACCTTTGTTGTAGATTAAAGACACAGTGTGAATTTAATTGCTACAAATCCATATAATTTGCCAAAATGCAAAAATAGTCAGTTCTGATAAAAGATGGACAGTAGGAGATAGAAGGACAGCACATAGACTTTGATTGTGTCTCCTAACTAGGCATCCTGGGCACAAATTGCAAATGAGATTTATGAATTTATTCTAAAATGTGCATTTTGTTTTCAGTTGCTAATCTATTCATATTTATCAAATTGTTTTAAAAATGGTCTGAAAAGTGTTGAGATTTCAATATCTAAATGCCATCATTACTCGCAGAAATATCCATTGATGCAGTCACTGTTTAGATTAAGTTGTTATGGTGACTGGAGTGTTCCTTTAATTTCTCCCTTGGTAGAAGGAAGCTTGCTGTCTTCTTCAGATGAGGTGTAAGGAAGGCCCTGGGTTTGTGTTGCCATTTTCTTTCTATGTACTTTTGCAGGCTGGAGGAACAAATCGCCAATATTTTCAGAATCTGACACCTTATAGGATCCATAGCACTTCTAGTTCTTCCATATATTTTATCAAAGCTCAGCATTAGTGTTGGACAATTTATTAAATAATTTTTTTTTTTTTTAAATCTTTTAAAGGGTTTTTTGGGGGGGAAGGGGTGGGGAGAGATTGCACTTTTTCTGCAAGTAGAGCATTCTGTTTCATTTTTTTTATCTCAGTAAGTGTAAATACAGCAGTATTTTCTGAAAAATGTCCCTTTACCAATGTCAATTTATTTTTGCAGCTGACATATTGAAGCCCTTACTGCTGAGCTCCAAGTAGCTGAATTGACTGGCTCACCGAATAGCTGCCATGCAGTAAATAGATGGAGGTGTTGGTTAAGAATGTTAAAATAATAAGCATAGTTCTGTTATCACACATGCTCTGCTCTCTACGTCACACGGTGTGGGCGGGGAATTCGTTCCTGCGTGATGACGTCACCGTAGCCAGCGAAAAGCTCGAGGTCCAGTTCGGACTCCTCTAAAATGGCGACTCTGTGCTAAACAAAGAATCGGCGACAGCCCAGCCACCCGCTTCACAAGTGCAGGATTGTTATTAATCTAATGCCAAGGCTCATTTGATAGCGGCGTAACCGACCGATTTTCTTGAAGTGTCTAAGAAAATAAAATAAAAAACGCGATGGAAGGAAAAATAGGCCCGATGACGTGCACGCTGGAAGCAGGTAAGCCAATCAGAGAAATAATTTGTGTCACATGACGCATGGTGTCCGCCATCTTTACTGTGGGCAACTTTATGTCTATGCAACTAGGCACCATGTGGAACCTCTTCCATAAGCACTATAATGGATACCGTACAATGTGCCATGCACGTGTGTGCTGTGATTGTCTGTTCATCAGTGCGGAGGGATCTAATGTACATTAAGCAGCCACTGCTCAACAGAGCTGTAAAATGGGATAGCCCAGTAAATCTGACTTTTTATTTTTTATACCTTTTTTGAGACAGTGGGTCAGTTGTAGTAAAATAACTGTTTTGAATTATGTGTGCCCTTAAAATCAGCCATTACTGAAAAGTAGGATATGATTTTTGTGCCATGAGGTGCACTGAAGAAAAACACAGGTTTCATATCATCTATATTGTTTACTCACTAAACAGTTTTCGCCGAAAGTTTGGAATTGGGTTTAAATACAAGCATATAATGAATGAGTATTGTTAAAAGTTATTCACTAAATTGTGATTTATAAACTTTAGCACAAAATGGGCGAGTAGGAGAATTTTATTTATTTTGCTTGAAGGAACACTTAAAGGACCACTCTAGGCACCCAGACCACTTCAGCTTAATGAAGTGGTCTGGGTGCCAGGTCCTTCTAGGGTTAACCCATTTAGAGAAACTGCTATGTTTATCAATGGGTTAAGCCTTCCTCCAAATCCTCTAGTGGCTTTCTCATTGACAGCCGCTAGAGGCGCTTGCGTGCTTCTCACTGTGAAAATCACAGTGAGAGCACACAAGCGTCCATAGGAAAGCATTATGAATGCTTTCCTATGCGACCAGCTGAATGCGCGTGCAGCTCTTGCCGCGATTCAGGCGAGGGAGAGCTCCCGCCCTGCTGGAAAAAGGTAAGTTTTCCCCCTTTTCCCCCTTCCAGAGCCGGGCGGGAGGGGGACCCTGAGGGTGGGGGCACCCTCAGGGCACTATAGTGCCAGGAAAACGAGTATGTTTTCCTGGCACTATAGTGGTCCTTTAAGGCACCATAATCACTACAACATGTTGTGTTGGCAGGAGTGCACTGAAGTCACCAAATCTTCCCTCCACAGTAAGGTGTCAAACCATTTTGACTTCTTACTTGGGGTGTCACTACCTACCTCCACTATGTCCTCAGCTGAGCTTTAAAGGGACACTGTCAGTAGGCACCAGACCTCTTCAGCTCATTGAAGTGGTCTGGGTGCTGTCCCTTTTGCACCTATAAAACATTGCAGTTCCAGAGAACTGCAATGTTTACATTGCAGCACTAAGTCTGCCCTAAGCCACTGAGGGGGCTTTCGGAATTGTAACAGACTTTTGGTCCTTATCTGACTCTGGGCGTCCTCACGCTCTGCATGAGGACCTCCAGCGTCAGATTTTACCCCTAGGAAAGCATTGATTCAGTGCTTTCCTATGGAGAGGTCTAATGCACGTGTGGCATTTGCTGCGTATGCGCATTATACCCCGCTCGTCTCACAACGGAGGAGGGGGTAGATCTTTGACCCAGCACAGAGGGACATTGGTGCTGGCATAAGGTAAGTAAATAAAGGATTTTTAACCCTTTTATTTGCCCGGGGTGCGATGGACGGGGGAGGCAGAGGTATGGGTAGTGCCTTGAATACAGCTTTATATTCTTGGCACTACAGTATTCCTTTAACCCCTTAAGGACACATGACATGTGTGACATGTCATGATTCCCTTTTATTCCAGAAGTTTGGTCCTTAAGGGGTTAAGCTATATACCTGAACTCAGCCCAACATTAAGAGCATGCCACCCAACAATGGTAATAGTAGGGGAGAGGGTGGACAATGGGGATCCGTAATTCAGCGCTCTCCGTATGGTTCTAGTGCCTTAATTATATAGATTTAGAAAGGAGATGGCCAAAGGGTCAATATCCCAAAATCAAGAGGAAACAGATAACGCGGCCATCTTAGTAGGGGAAAGGCTGCTGTGCCCCACCTCCCCCTGCTTATAGCATTTACTTTCCCCTACTAAGATGGCCGCCACATTCTCATCAATATCGTTTTAGCTAATTTATTTATACTTATTTGTACAACATTTCTCCCCTTCTATCCCATACCTACCAGTAACTACATGCCTCCTACCCTTATTTGTACCCTAGTTCGGCTAAACATTTAGTTTTCGCTGAAAACGCCAACAACTACTCCCAAAACTACATTTCCTTTCAGACCTTGCGCCTAGTAAACTCAGCCGCACACGTAAAACAAGTCACATGCTTCGGCTTCAAACAGCTGAAACTAGCTATACAATGCTCGGATGGTCCCCAAACCTCCTGCTATCAACCCACACTATTATTTATTGAATTTTTAATGTACCAAATTTCGATGTGTGCTGATTGGTGGACAGCCTATGATGTAATTTTGGTGCCATTTTTAAACTACGCTCTCCCCTAAATAAACCCTATTTGCCAGGTTGTCTGTTATTGATCCATTTGATAAAGCCTACACGGTGAAACGTGTTATGGGCATTACCTTTTAAAGACTTTTTATAGGGAATAAAGGATTTTTGGTTTTACTATAACCCACTACCTCCTTATTTCAATCATTTATTTAAACAGAATTTTTTTTCCTGGCATCTTACCTATTTTTAACCTGAAGACCAGTTACCAACTCTACTCTCAAGCACATCCTAGGTGGGGATTATACCACTAACGCTGTCATCACTGAGCAGTGAGTCTGCTCCACGCTTGTGAGTAATATTCTGCTTATTTTATTTATTTGTATTATATTACTGAGAGCACGATTTGTGGCTATCTCTTCCTCTCCGAGCACCTAGATTACCACCTGCTGTGAAAGACTACGACCATCATATCCCATAAGTGGGAATTATACCACTGTATGCGATATTCACTAGAGCTGGTCATAGCTCTTGTTCATGTGATTGCAATATTTTTATTTCTTAAGTGTTGTTCGTCCAACCCAGACATATTGCACTATCAGTTCGTTCTGTCTTTTCTTTTTCCACATACGGAGACTGAGAAGACCCTTCATACCCCCCCAAGTATAAAGAATCAAGAAGCCACCGCTGGATTATTTTATTTATTTATCTTACTTAGAGACTATTTTTTTTTTTTTTTATATATCTTATTTTATTGGGACACAATTCTAGTAGCCCTTCTCCATTTGTTTTCTTTTCTGTATGTTATTCTTAAGGGTTGAGAGAGATCCCCTTCTTAGGGTTGCTGCCTTAATTTACTGTTGGTATTTAGCGCTGACCCATTTTGTTTTTTACCAGAGTAGCAAACTGTGTGTCTAATGTGCTACAAAATATCTAAATCGATAAACAAGTCTAGACTGTAAAGAAACCACAGAGGTGTGCCACAACGGTAAATAGAATTGAATCAATGCAGTCACCAATTGGTATCTACTTCGGCTACACAATGTATTTCTATGATATTTATCTTAATAACAGATTGCCTCATTACCACGTCACCCCTTAGGGGTATGTTTATTAATATTTACCTTTTGAGAATTGGACCTTTATACTCTGATTACGATGTAAAACGGCACTATCACTCGCGATTTTGGATATTCCTCCTTTCTTCAGTCATCTCGGCCACCGTACCTACACACCCCCCGAGTCCAAACGTGACCAATCGGGCTATTTAAACCCTACCATACCGGGAGTCAGTTCCCTCTGATGAGCCTCTAATCAAGGCGAAACGCGCGTTGGGGCGCGACTTCTTTTTCAACCTTGTTCTGTCTCCTGCTTTCCATGGCACCTCTTAGTCGGGTTGACCTTTCCAGTCGGATATACCATATAGCCACCTAGGTGCCCTGGAACTGTGATGGCTGACAGCTGTCCTTAGAAAAACTGACAAACTGTCACGGTTCTCGCCGCAGCAAACAGACAGCCAGACGTGGTCACCCATGGAGTTCCCAACAAAGGACTTGAACCGGGGAACTTCGCAGTCCTGGTCCTGCTTCCTTCCTCTGAGCCACAGCAGCTTTTGTATTCCACATGTCATTCTGGTCCTGTTCATCCTGGCATGTCTATTACTCTGGGGGCTGTACCTTGACTTTGGATGTGCTTCACCTGACCCTGATCAGACATTAGCAGGGTATTTAAACTCAGCCTCGCCCTGTGATCAGCATCAAGTCTTTGATCCTGTTGTGTGCTTTGTACCAGTGTTCCTGTCGTTTGAGCTGCTACTTGTTATTGACCCCGGCTTCTGACTACGTTTACTCTGACCTCTGGCATCCCTTGACTTCGGCTACTCCTCGTTGTTCCTGTCTTCTGGCATCCTTTGACCTCGGCTATCCTTTGACGATCCTGCTGTTTGAGTCCTTGCCTGTCCTGCGACTTGGTACTTCATCCTGCACAGACCCACAGGCCGGGTGAATTCTTACCTGACCACCTTGGCCTGTGGCTATCTGCAAGGGTGAGCAACATATCTGCGCTACAGACTCCCAACCCAGGTAAGACCCTGACACAAACTAGGTACCGATCAGGGCAATTTTGGTAATACCTATTTATATTGGCAGCATCATATGATTTTGGACTGTTTTGGCTCCCTTTGCCTGCACTATATATCTCCTAATCTTTCCTGTGCTAGGTGCCCTTGAAAGCACCATTCCAGCTATCCTATCTCTTACCATTTATACTCAGTAGTGAGTGTACGGCACTTTGGCTATTCCTACTGACTTTGTTGCAAGTGTATGTGCCACATATTGCCAACTGCGGGATAGGACGCTTAATGATTAAAGGACCACTATAGTGCCAGGAAAACATACTCGTTTTCCTGGCACTATAGTTCCCTGAGGGTGCCCCCACCCTTTAGGGACCCCCTCCTGCCGGGCTCTTTCTCCAGTGTCGGGCGGGGAGCTCTCCTCCTCTTCTCCTCCGCAGGAGCCGCGCGCACATTCAGCCAGTTCATAGGAAAGCATGCACAATGCTTTTCTATGGACGCTGGCGTCTTCTCACTGTGAAAACCACAGTGAGAAGCATGCAAGCGCCTCTAGCGGCTGTCAAGAGACAGCCACTGGAGGCTTTATTAACCCTAACATAAACATTATGTATGTATGTATGTATGTATGTATGTATGTGTGTGTGTGTGTATGTGTGTGTGTGTGTATATGTATGTGTGTGTGTATATATATATATATATATATATATATATATTTTACTGTTTGATCAACCTATGAACGTATAGTTATTCCACTTCTTAATTAACAAGACTACGAATTCCATCACTACTAGGCAGACAATGAGAGTTTATATTTTATGGGGACATGCCAGTTAGAACAATGGGACCATTGAACGGCTCCCTTTCATGGTAGTTATTATACTCCTAGGATAGTCTGCTTGTTACCGATAGTTTGGACAAATTGTATACGTATAGAGGTAATCTCTGACACAAGCTTCCCTTGATGGGACACATTTTAGTCGCTGCCAGTATCTCAGACTGAGCTTGGGCTGACTGTTACAATTCAACTCTTTCACTACACCGTGAAATATATCACTGTAACAAATTTACTTCCGATACTCTGACAGTATTACTATTTACCGGTGTGGCACAGCTACCCCTTTGTGGTTTCTTTACATTCTAGCCTTGTTTATCGATTTTAGATATTTTGTAGCACATTAGACACACAGGTTGCTACTCTGGTGCATATCGCTACAGCGATGCCTATTTACTCAGTATGTGTGTGTGTGTGTGTGTGTGTGTGTATATATATATGTGTATGTATGTATGTATATATATATATATATATATATATATATATATATATATATATATATATATATATATATATATATATATATATATATATATTTATTTATTTTTTAACTACACTTGTTACTCCTCACTTCCCCCTCCCCACTTTATATGTGCTCTTTGCTTTGACTACCATAATGGACTTTTAAAGAGTCAGGTAGCCATAGCTAGGGTTTTTGTACCCATTTCTGTTTTTCTTTTGTTTTTGATCTTGCCGTATTTCTAATAAAGCATATTCTTATCTTCTTGCAATTCTAATAGCTTTTAACAGCATTTAGACTACTTATAATAATATCAGGAACAGATCTTCCTTTTTCTTGGTATTAATTATATAGAAAATTATTTCTAAAGTTGTACTACCTTACTCTTTTTTTTTTTTTTTTTTGTGGCTAATTATCTCCAAAAATGGAAAACCACGACACAAATTCGTAATGGCGGTATTTTCCTGAAATCTGGACTGTTTTTTTGAAGCCTTCTACAGTGTCCTGTAGTGGTTATTGTGTTTGGTGAGTTCAAAGAACTGTAACCAATAGTTTTTGGCGTGTTCCTTTAAAGTTTGAATTACATGAATGTTTAAACACATTTTTGCTGTACTTGATAAAAGAGTTAAAGGGCGTTTTAGCCTATTTGCGAGTGCTTCAGAAGTACTTAGCGTATTGCTGCTTTGTCAGGCAGACTTACATTCTGTTCATTTTTATGTCCTTGTATATCGCAAGTGATGCTGATTGAATTACAGGCACACCGTCCTGACAAAATTGGCAAAATCTGCACACTTAAAGCAGCTCTGTCACCTTCCCACTGCGTATTTTGAAAAGTCTCCAGATCGTGACGTTGTCGCTTGCAGTGAGGTGGCTGCAGGGTGCAAGGAAAGGGGAATTTTACTTACCTGAACCTGTCCCTCTCGCCTACTTCCATCATCTTGCACTCCTGTCAAGTGTTGTATTTAAGGTCTGGACAGGAATATTCTGATGAGCCTAATAAAAGAAGGTAGATTTCTGTAGCGGAATGGGCTTTGCTACTATCTATCTTTTATACTAGAGGCTGTCCATAACCCCTTTTGTTACCTTATTTTATTGGGATTGCAACTGTTCGTTACTTGTAAAAGCAAGTAACAAGTAATATCCCTCTGTTAAGCTATTTCTAATATATAGTAACTGGGTGATCTCCTAGGTGGTCGCCAATCGGCATACAAACACGTGGCGGTGGCCATCTTAGCATACAAGTTATACCAGCGTTGTTTGGTCGTCGAGTGTCTGGAACTCAAATCGGACACTCAACGGCAAACACCGCAGAGACTTCCATCCTCGTGTAAGTTCATGGAAACTCAAGAGAACAGAGCGGCATTCGGTAGAAAGAATTACACGAACAAGAGGAATTGCACGAACTAAGACATGAACCATAATTTTATGTACTTTCATGAATTTCAACTTCCCGAACAGAGACTGACTGCACAGCCAAAACTGGAACTATGGAACTATGGAAAAATGGAACTATTCTCGGCTTATACCTCGTGTGCGGTCTGTAAAACTAAGACCTCCATAAAACTCTCGAACCCCTGAACCGATCTGGGTAATCTTTCAGTATGTTGCTCCCCCAGATCAGGGCTATCAGAGGATGTTGGAATTATGAGTGTATGACATGTTTTTGGGGTATTTTCAGAAAGTATTGTGATTTAATTTTTTTCTGTTTGAAGATAATTGAGTTGATACAGTAATTAACTCAATTATCTCCTGAGCAGAGGGGAGGGATTGTGTGTAATGTATGGGAGTGACTTATTACTTGACTATGTCTGGCCATTAAAGGATCGGTTCTGCTCCTAATACTGAGTGTCGTCCAGTTATTGGGAAAGGTGATGGGATATTCATGTGTCATCTTGTACTTATGCCTGCTGTCTTGAAGTTTCCAGCTTGTTCCTGAATAGCTATTGGTGGAAACAGGGGAGAAGAAGCCCTGCTACCATTGCTCTCTGCTACAATTTCCATATCCACGGTCCTAGTAGTTGTGGACGACATGTGGCAATCCTACTGCTAGACCACACAACCTGTGTACTCTCCTTTCTCTGTGAATATAATATCTCATATTTGGCTTTGAGGTTGTGTATCCAGCATGCCTGCAGTGCACAGATCAATGTACTGGATAGCTAAAAAAGGAGTTTGATACAAGTAAAGTAAAGCACCACTGAAATTACAGCAATCTTTTTAATGATAAATAAAAAGAATGGGGACGTGGCCAACTTCTGGTGAGAGCTCCGAGACCCTGACAGCCTAAAATAGCGTTATAATTGCATTACCGACAACAAAAAAAGGCTTAAAACATTGGATACTTTGAGGTAAACAAGATGTCTCCATCCAAGCAAACAAAATTAACGGATTCGATCTGCTCCAACAAAAATGATAACCACAAACAACATCAAGATGGCGCTGACTCTCAGGCACACTCACCTGCCTCGGAGGGAAATTCGGATCATGTGATGTCCGGTGCCAGCTATTTAGATAACCTGGTCACAGAAAAGACCCTGCACACTATGATGCAAGATTTTAGAACCACCCTACAGTAAGATCCCAAGCAGATTGCTGCGACCAAGACTAAAGAGGTTGCTGAGTTGGGGATAGGACCAGCCATCGAACAGAAGAATTATGTCAGGCCCACATCAAAGTAGTAGACGAAGTGCAAAAACTGGCTGAAGAACAACAAGCCATAAAGTACAAGCTGGCGGATATGGAGGACAGGTCGCAGAGAAACAATGTCCATTTCCAAGGAATAGAGGACAGTGTCACTCTGGAGGAATTACCTCTCTTCCTTAAAGCATTGTGCACTCGATTCTCCCAAACGCTTTGGATTAGGCCTGGACTTTTGACCGTCTACACTGTCTACCCTGGCCGCAGAGATTTGCGGTGGATACACCAGGTGACGTGATTGTCCGTTTTCATTATGAACTCTTGTCTGCTGCTAGGAAGCTTAATGAACTCCCATCTCCTTACCAGAACATCAGCAGCCACCATGGCCAGAAGACGAAACTTTGTGAACATCACCAAGAACCTACTAAACAACAAGGTAGCCCCGATGGGGTTACCCCACAAAGCTTTCAGTCTGGTGCAACGGCAAGACCCAAGTCATATCGGATCCGGAAGAATGGATGAAAGTACTCACGGACTGGGGCTTATGGAAGCCAGGGAATACAGCTTCACCGATTTCCGCATCGCCAAGGAAGATCCAGGGAGAGTGGACCATGGCGTCTCTGACATGGACAAAGGATCCAATACTTTTAGTCAGGGAACCCAAATTATATCAGGTGCCTGGAGAAGCAATTAAAACACAACACAAATGGTTGTGAGACCAGAATTACTTCCTGTTCGTTTATTCAAAGTAGGGTGTATTTATACACAATATTGTTGCAGCTTAGCTTGAAGGTTTAAAAATGAATGTAATTAAAGAAAGGAAAGTCAAAAGATAAAATTAGTTAATGTGGCTACATATTTCAGAAGATCTAAAATTAGTTTACAAAACAATATGTGGTTACATATTTCATAAGATAGGAAGGTCACAGATAAAATTAACTAGCAAACAGTCAAACAATGTACAGTTTCTCAAAATAAGTGCTCCGGTGGGGGCTTGAATACACACAGAACGCAACTTATGTTGACCCATATACAGCATTTTACAGAGGAAAAAATTCATAACCTATAAAGAGCATCAGATGTAGGTCTTAATTTAATTACGCTGAACATTGGAATCAAGATCTATTCCCTCACATCTCCTACAAAACCAAACTGATTCTCTGTTTAAACGCATAGAGTTACCTTCGTGCTCTGTTATGCATATCCTTTGAGTATTCTCAAGTCTAATTTACTTCTAAATTACAAATATTGAATGTGTTAAGTTATGATTGTGTGGAGGGTAGGTAGGTGTATTTTCTTAACTGAAAACTGGTTTATTACCGTATCCACCATATATTCCCCTCTCCATGCAGCAAGTGTGTGCATTACTTCTACCATTATGGGGTGCTGCTAAGTTTTTTTGATGTTCCTTTATGAGCCTTGATAGCAGGCGCGAACGATGCATAACTTGTATGTAATATAGTTGTTAATTTAGTATTTATTCTCCCTGGGACATCTGCCCGAATTGTGGGGACAACTTCCCTTTACATTTGAAAATAAAAAAAATAACACCAAAAAACGAAAATCACAAAAAAATAGTTTTCACCTAGTTCTGGTAAATACAGATGTCACCGTATACCTATGAAACATTTAAATAACAGGAGAAAGGCTCAGCATGACCTGGTGCGACCTCTCGTGTCTGGTAATAGCTATTAAGTCATCACTTTACCTATAAAATTTTGGGGGCTCTAATGGGGGTTACTGAAATCTTCCTCCAAGGCTGTATGATCGGGAGTGGGACTGGCCTCACTCGTTCACGTTGTTGATACATACTTGTGGTTTTTTTTTTTCTCTCGTTATGTTTTCCTTTTTTTTTTTTATTCCTCACTACTGACTTCATTAGAAGTATTTCATGCGTGAGCACAAGCAGATCCCAGACGGTTCAAAGGGATTTAGGCATACTAGGTCAGCGGTTCTCAATAAATGTAAGCTCTATACAGCCCAGCTGGATCATGGAGCCAGGGCTCACTGTAAGTTCTGCATACCTTTTACTCATTATGTTAGCATTATGTTGACAGATGACAGACCTACTTAAAATAATCTCCTATAACGTTAAGGGGCTGAACCACAGTCATAAACTGCACTTGGTACTCCTTGATATGCACAGGTCTGGTGCGGCGATAATCTGCCTACAAGAAACACATTTCTGTAACCAAACCGCCTCCCCCCCCTGCCTAATGTCCCGTAGATACCCAACAGTGCACCATGCTTACTCACCCCACAAATCTAGAGGAGTGGCTATCTATATCCACTCTGATTGGGCTTTTTATATAAATTTGATCAAACAGGCAGACTCTTAATTTTGGTTGGCTCCCTAAATGGTATTCAACTTTCAATTGCGTGTTTATATGCACCCAATGACTCCCAACAATCTTTCCTGCACACTGCATTTAAGAAAATAATGCGGATGCGCTAAGGCCACCTCATTGTGTGCGGAGACTTCAATTGCACCCTTGATCCCAAACTGGATATTAAGAGAGCAGATGACAAAGCCCCTACTTCGATATTCCTTCAATTGAGCCAATATTTGACAAACCTGTTGCATACCAATAACCTGTACAACACCTGGCATGCCCTATACTTATCTGCTAAGGACTACTCTTACTTCTCCTCAGTGCATACGTCATACTCTCACATTGACTTATGTCTGGTAGATAAAATGACACTGTCGAACGTAAAGGACGTTACTATAGGCCCAAGAACTTGGACAGACCACGCACCAGTATGCATTACGCTACATCCTCCACATCTGGCCAGGGGTAGGGGCAAATGAAGATTAAATGAAGCCTTACTAAATGCCCCAGAACCTTTTTACAAACTAACAAATGTCTTACAGTCCTACTTTCAGACCAATCTTGACTCTGACACATCCATAGATACTCTGGTTGGCCCACAATGCGGTAAGTAGGGGTGCCCTGATACAAATAGGTTAAATTACGAAAAAACACAACAAGGATGCCCAGTCACGACTCCTCCGGCACCTAGCCAGATTGGATGCCCAAAACAAACAACGGCCATCGAAAAACCTTATCCAGACAAATCGATAGCATTAACCAAGAACGCTGACTGTCTCTTATAACAACAAAAAGACATCTGCGATCACTTAGGCAAATTCACTATGCATCTGGTAACAAAGCAGGGAAACTATTAGCCAAAAAACTTAAAACTAAATATCTCCAAACCAAAATCCCCTATATTCTATCCAGATCTGGCGACAAATTGTTTAATCCAAACCACATAGTGGAAGAATTGGCAGAATTCAATAAAATAGAAATAGATAATTTCCTGGGTGACGTACAACTCCCAACAAACTAGACACACCGTTTACAGATGATGAAATTAGGATTGCAATTTGCACCCTTCCGAAGCACAAAGCACCGGGCCCGGATGGCCTTTCCAACTACTATTACATTAAATTCAATAACATTTTAACCCTGCATATCACAAAATTATTTTATGCGATACGGACAACAAGCATAATTCCTCAGGAGATGTTAGAGGCACGTGTTGCAACTTTACCAAAGCCCAGCAAGCCTCCAACTTTGTGTGCTAACCTATGCCCTACATCACTGCTAAATGACGATCTTCAGCTGTACGCTAAACTTCTTGCATCCCGCATCAAACCGCTGATACCACAGCTGGTTTCGGCAGAACAAGCAGGGTTTGTCCCAAGACAGCAAGTGGGTGACAACACCCGACTGTCTCTTGACTTAATAGAATGGGCAAATAATAGTTCTCAAAATGGCACTCTCTTGGCTTTATACGCAGAGAAAGCCTTTGACCGTTTAAATTGGTCCTATATGGAAGCTGCCCTTTCGAGACTTGGTTTCTCTGACTCATTTGTTAAAAGTATAATAGCCCTTTACTCCAACACCACAGCAATGGTTTTTACACTGGCTTCCTGTCATCTGCGTTTCCAATTTCCAACAGCACGTGTCAAGGTTGCCCTCTCTCTCCCATAATAATGTATTCTTTGCCTGGAACCTGTAGTCCACCACATCAAAACCAGTAACGCAATCCGAGACCTGTCGTCCCTGGCTGGGGATGTTTGCGGATGACATTCTGATGTTTCTACAAGATCCGCTAAACTCCTTACCACCACTTTTACACCTCCTTTCATTGTATGGTCAGATTTCATATTACAAAAATGACACATCAAATACCCAAGCGCTCTCCATAAATCTGCCCCGCCATACCAAACAACTCTTACAAAGCAAATCTAACTTTGACTGACATGTTAAATGGTTGACGTATTTAGGTATCAAACTTACAAACAACCTCCAACACCTACATCGAGAAAACCATTTACCCCCTACTTAATAAGCTAAATACTCAATTGGAGCAATGGGGGGACTTGGAGATGTTGTGGCTGGGCAGAATTAACGCCATTAAGATGATGGTCATCTTATACCTTTTCAGGACTGTCCCACTATGTTTGCATAAGAACATCAGAAACTGTATGCATAAACTTATAAACTCTTATTTATGGAAAAGGAAACCCCCAAGGGTTTCACACTTGTCATGGCTCCCGCTTAATGCAGGAGGTCTGGGAATCCCCTGTATATGCAACTATTACAGAGCCTCAGTATTAGCGCAAGGCAATGACCTTCTATTAAAACGAACAGATCTGGTTTGGGTCTCTATGAAAAATGCATGCATTTTCCCTGCTTCTTTAGTAAACCTACACTAAGGCGATGAAACTATAGTGTATGGAATACTGCTTTGTGTTGCTTGCACTATAGAAACAGCCTTTGTATTGCACTTAAAGGGATTTAATGGAATATAAATATTCTTCAACATAGAATAGAACTATTCTTCAACTTGGCAAGAAGCCGCATAATATAGAAGCTATATTATGCGGCTTCTTGCTAAGTTGAATAGTTCTATTGTGTTAAATTATCTATTTATTTATTGTTTTTTTGTTTGTTTTTTGTATAACAATGTTGGTGCTTTTAAAAAGAGGTTATAAGTATTTATAAAACTGTTAAAATAAATTACATATTTTCACTGACTTACACTTTTTTTTTCTCAACAGGAAACATATTAACTAAACCAATTGGTTATATTGAATCTTGCTTCAACACAAAAAATGGCACACCCAGGCAGCCATCTGTTTGCAGTTTGTCACGTGCCTGCTTAAGGATAAGCAAGAGTGTATTCAACAACCCTGAACATTCAGTTATGGGCTTAGAGGAATTCTCTCATGTATGGTAGGTATAATGGTATGAAAACCGCTATGATACCGTGCCTGAATCTAATGTTTGTAAAGATGACTCTCTTTACCAGTAAGTGAAGACTAGACAATAAAATTGTACATTTTGGGTCACAATACATGTAAACTGTGTGCACAGTGTTTAATCAATAATTACGTGATATTTCCTGCACAGAAGCATTGTCTTCGCGCTCCAGACTTAAGTTTCCATGACTTTCTGATCCCTTTCTGGCTTTACAAGATCACCTCCTTCTACTGAATGATGAAAGTAGACATCTGTGGAACATTCATTATCTGCAAACCCTGTTCTACAGATGGTGTTCAGTTTCATGATATGAGTCTCCAGACCTCCTAAAGCAGTGTAATGCTTTTGTCATACCCCTGTCTGAATTGTACCCTATTCTTCTTGTGCCCATTCCCTTAAAAAAAATACTTTATTTATTTTTTTCCTCCATGAATCTTCTGTTCCCATCTACCCCAACGCAGTTTGCTGTGTTCTGTTATTGGAGAACGGGGCGGTTATGGCTGCAAACCAATTAAATAGAATAGCTTTCACTATGACCAAAGAGCTAATTGTTATATTTAGACCACACTCTTAGATCTGCTGGAAAACCATGTTATCACTGTTCCGGTTGCACATGAAGACCTTTCAGTTCAGTTAGCTGTTCTTTCTCCAGCTGGTGCAACAGACTTCTAGAAATATCAAGAGCAGAGAAGATAGATAATACAGACTTATGTCAATGGTCTGCTGGTAACCATGCAAATCATAAGCAGATTTCATGGTCTAACATCATCACTTTTTATGCCACTGAATACTGTCTAGTGGTGTCTCTGGGGATGCTCAGATCTCCTAAATGGGAACTGTCACGGCAAGGGTGTATAATTTATTATTACACTATGGAATATCATCTTTTAATGTAATTTGTGTAGTAAATGGCACAAATTACAAAGATGCTATTGCTGAGGTCAACAGGGGTTACATCTTTTGAAGCTGGGACCCCCACAGAGGTCAGATGACAGAAGGGGTAGTGTGAATGGCATAGCAATGTGAAAAGGATTTTACTATATGGATGTGAAGTAATCAAGGATCTGCAAGGTGTGAGGTTCTACACTTGGAAAAAGTCTGAATGTCTCTTCATCCATTTGACATATACCTTGTAAAGGATAGTTCAATCATTTGAAATGGTAATGGGATTCGTTTCATTCGGATCCTTGTGTTCCAGTATCTTATCCAAGTGAAACATTCATACTTACCCACAGGTTAATAATTAAGCCTAATTTTTATTATATTTGGAATGGGACAAGCCCAATCTTTTAATTAAGCCCAAACATGAGTTGCACAACTTAAACCGTGTGGCAGGACTTGTGATGTCCGTCCTATTTGATCGTGGGCGGGGCGTGCAACATGTCTTTGGAATGGGAAAACAATAACAAATTCAAAGAGGCAATTATTATTTCTGTGGCAAGTACAGTAGAGGAGATAAAACCAAAAGTTTGTATGTGACATGTTGTTTTCTGGAACAAAGGAGGTGGTCACTTAGTATCCACCCCTGGATGAGGCGTGGCATCTCACAGGGTATATGTCCTGTGATCCTGAAGGGTGTTTGTGTACTTGCTTGGGGCCAAGATCTAATTTTGAGTGTGTCACCATCTTTCCTTGCCAGAGACCCCCTGGACAGAAGTTGTACTTTGAAAACCTAAGTGAGTAATTAGGACTTCTTTATTTTATCCTTTTTGTTTTTATCTGTTGTTGGTGTAAATAATTTGTTTATCATATATTGTTATATGCACTGTGATTAATTTTTGCTCATAATAAACATTCATTTATTAAGTTCTGCTTTTGTCTGGTTAAGAATCATGTTACCTGAAGAGACTAGTTAGTATTTTTGTAATTCCTTGAATATTGTACTAAGTAATAATATTTGGTGGGTTTTATTGTTGATTTACCTGGGGGACCAAGGCACCCCATTTATAAATTGTCTTGGTGGTGGCAGCGTTAAAATAGTAATAGTTATATTATTATGTTTAAGTGTGGGTGGTGTTAAAGGGGGATTTTGTCATTATTTCCGGTCTAGTGCAGACAAATAGTGAACTCTAACCCTTTCACAACCACAACTACGTCACACACACTCTTGGAGTAGGGTGTGTTCGTGACAGGAACAGCCATAGGAAGACCTAAAAATTACTCCTTTTTTTCTCTGCATTATGCCTTAACGGATCTAGCCATGGAATGAAACGGTGAGAACCGTTGTGGAATGGATCTTTAGACTTTGAGGAGTTTGCATTTAATGTAAAGATGGCAGAAACAATCCATTTGCTCATGGTAGAGATAGTTAGTGCTTGACCTGTGCTAGGATCAGTAATAGATGTTGGGAATTGCTGCATGACCCTGTTTACTATATATAAGCAGACAAACCATGCACAACATCCAAGGTGTGCCAATATTCCTGTAATGTAGATGAAGGATAAAAAGCTGAAGGTAAAAAGTCCTGATTGACATGGAAGGCCGAGACACAGTTGGTTCTGAATACTGGCACTGTTCGAAGAACTACCTAACCCAGAAGAATCACAATTAAAGGGACTCTCCAGAGCCAGGAAAACAAATCCGTTTTGCTGGCACTGCAGAATCCTACAGTGCCCCCCTCCCTCCTACCCCATGTTGCTGAAGGGGTTAAAACCCCTTCAGTGACTTACCTGAATCCAGCGCCCATGCCCCTCGGCACTGAGTCAGGCTCAGCGTCGCTTAAAACTTTTTGTGTTTTATGAAGCCGGAGGTCCCTCTAGTGGATGTCTGATAGAGGAGGAGTACTTATAAAAACTGCAATAATTACACTTGCAGGGTTAAGGGTGATGGGAGTTGGCACCCAGACCATTTCAATGGGCAGAAGTGGTCTGGGTGCCTGGAGTGTCCCTTTAAGGGCTCATATCTTGACAAGGCATGGAACTCAGATATTTTTTTTTTTCCAGACGTTCAAGCCATCAGCTACACAATCTTTAGTCTGAACAGCTAGTCAGATAAATCTAAGGGGCTTCAGCATTGAGATAAACTACAATAGCTCTTACCAACAATGTGGCAAAGAAAATATGGTAAAAAAATATTTTAGCACTAACATAAACCTAGCCACCGCCACTAGATTCAATGTACATTTAGTACCGGTGAAAACAGGAAAAAGCAATAACAACATTTTCAGGGTATTAAGATTCAGGCCCATAGCAAAGCTCTCCTGCAGAAAATTTAAGATATCAACTTGATTAAATGGGTTATTGTATGTTCATAAAATTGCAATAAATTACCAATTATGTGCTAAGTAACTGGAGTAGATTTTCTCTTGGTTTGTAAAAGTGTAGAGACTGCTCCTTTTTGAAGGAATATATAGATTTGCACTAAACTCCAAACAGCATACAAAGCTAGGCAGGTGGGTTGATTATTGACTGGACTATGAGATAGGAATGATGATCGTTCCCAGGGCAGCTTCAGCAGCATGTGAAGGAGAAGCAGGAACCAAGGACTCCTAAAACGAAACAGAATAACTGCTTTCACTTCAGTTTTTTTTTTTTATCTGTTTAGATCTTCTTAATTCTAAATCAGAGTAATAGATACACATGCTGAATAATGGAGTTTGTGATCCGTCTCCTAATATGAAATATGTATATAAATGTTGTGAGGCTTTTGACCTGCAGCTTGTGGCTTTGGTGGATCCAGAATTCCATTTCAGGAGGGTCACTAAATGTTTAAAATTGCAGTTTTGTGTGTGTATATATATATATATATATATATAAATGTTTTCTGGTGTATAATTGCATATTAAAACTTTAAGATTTATTTACAAAGTCCTGCGAGTGCACCTTCCTTGATACTTATATTTTGGCATACCGTATATACTCAAGTATAAGCCGAGTTTTTCAGCACATTTTTTGTGCTGAAAAACCCCAACTCGGCTTATACTCGAGTCACTGTCTGTATTATTGCAATTTACATTGCCATAATACAGACTGGGGGCTGGCAGCGAGCGCTTACCTCTCCTGCAGCTCCTGTCAGCTCCCTCCTCCTCCGCGCCGGTCCGTGCAGCACCTCGGTCAGCTCCCAGTGTAAGTCTCGCGAGAGCCGCGGGGTCATAGTGCGGCTCTCGCGAGACTTACAGTGTGAGCTGACAGAAGAGCTGCACGGACCGGCGCGGAGGAGGAGAGAGCTGACAGGAGCTGCAGGAGAGGTAAGTAACAGCTCTGCCAGCCCCCCTCCTCCCCCCACTGAACTGCCAATGCCACTGGACCACCAGGGAAGGAGAGCCCCCCTCCCTGCCATGTATCAAGCAGGGAGGGGGGGACGAAAAATAAATAAATTAATAATATATAAATATAAATAATAATAATAATAATAATAAAAAAATAATAAAAAATAATATAACAAAAAAAATTAAAAATTTTTTTTTTATAAAAATGCCCACCCCCCCCCACCAAGGCTCTGCAACACAAACACACACTGCATCACACACACACACACACACTGCATTCATACAAACACTGCACTCATACACACACACTGCATTTATACACACACTGCATTCATACACACTGCACTCATACACACACTGCATTCATACACACACACTGCATTCATCATATACACACACTGTAAATAAATATTCAATTAATATAATTTTTTTAGGATCTTATTTTATTTAGAAATTTACCAGTAGCTGCTGCATTTCCCACCCTAGTCTTATACTCGAGTCAATAAGTTTTCCCAGTTTTTTGGGGTAAAATTAGGGGCCTCGGCTTATATTCGGGTCGGCTTATACTCGAGTATATACGGTAATTGAATTGTGCTCAGGTAAGGACAAAAGGACAAGATTGGGAGAGTGAGTGCTGGATCCACGTGTGTGTGTGTGTATATATAATATGCTTGGCTTGGAGTTGTGGGAGGGGCTTATGGACCTTTAAAAGGGACTCCCCTGCCCCACCCTCCACTCACTTTATTCACCATACTCTTCTAGTGTAGGCCCACTTTATTTACTGGCCTACAGCATACGTCGGTTTCGGCACACCTCAAGTAAATTACTAGTCAAACATAGCAGTATGCATAATTACTTGGCTGGCAGCAACACAGCAATTTTACCTTGTCTGGATACACATACCAGCTGAAGCCTTTGTAACCGAGTAAACTTGCAGAAGCCAGACACAGAGAGATGGATGCAGGATTTCAGGAAGTAAGAGGTCTTTATTAACATACCGATCGGGCCTCAGATGAACTAACATTCCAAAACAGGTCTGAGGGCCGAACACATGGAGTACATGCTTTTTATAGAACAATAACTCCTCCCATTAATAGCTCCACCCGCACATACCCTTAACCAATCAGTGGACAGGATTTGGATTTCCTCATATGGGCAGACCACATGGCTCATCCGAAACAAAGGAGAATGGAATGTGATTTCAGTTCCTGCATTCCTGCACATGCTCAGTACATTGATGACAGTATCTTAGCTACGTGTAACTAACTGATACAACATACACATATGCCACGTGGAAATCTCTGCCTACTAAATTTACATTTCACCAAAATTCCATCACATTCCCCCCTTTGATGCCTCTGGTACAAATATTCCAGATGCATCACCAATCATAGTTTACCAACACCTCTCAAGTAGCTATTGGACCAGAGCAGACCTTGTAAGCATCTTAGCATCATCACAAACTCCTTCAGCATTCCTCATCCTGAGTATGTTCTCTTTGGGCTAGGGATTCATATCTATAGACAGCCATTACATGAGCAGCTGTCTTTCTTTCTATAGTACTCCTATGATACTACGTATAGATCTGACCACTAATGGAATTAGGCAGGGCAGAAAGAGACATAAGAATATAATAAATACTACTCCTCCTACTAACGCCTTAATCCCTCCAAGCTGCTCATACCAACTTCCAAACCAACTACTAGGATTATACCCATTCCAGACCTGAGTAGGTACATGCGTAAGTTTAACCATGTGGCTTGTAAGATTAAGTGCTTAAGCTGTCTCATTAGTGATAATCTCAACCACCGCCTGTAGTCTTATAATACAGTTGAGCATATATATTGGGGTTCTTTATCCATAGGTACCATCTTCTGCCCAAGTAGCAGGCCCATAATAATTAATAATGCGCTGGGGAGGCCACTCATCATCTTTCCGCTACCTATATTCAAGGATGCTCGCTTCTTTTTATGATTTACATCATAAATCTTAACTCCCAAGGTCTCTCCTGTCTCAATTGGCAACAGGAAGAAGGATGGTTTGAGCATACCTAATACACATGCCCCTTCCCAATCTTGTGGTAACTCTGAATATGCTTTCTTACCACAGATCCAAAATAAATTTGCTGGGGCTTTCCAATTGGATATAGCAGATAAGTCAAACCATACCAAAAACCTGATGAGTTTGAGTTGCTATCGTCTCAGTTTCAAGTCCTACATATATTATGGTCCCTGGATCTACTCCTATGCCATATATTTGGAACCCAAATAGATTTCCAAACTTATAAATAAAATGTTGTGGATTAGAGATGGTCATATGGACAGGATTACATTCCATAGATTTACAGTGTGGTGTAGTGGGCAACCTTTGTATAATCATATCTTGATCCACTGTTTTTCCCCAGGTCGCCCACCCTACACAAAAATTAAAATCCCTATTTGGGCAATCAGGATCAGTAGATCTCTTACTGGGACATAAATATTTATCATTAAACCCATAAGTTCGTTCCCATTTAAGATTACCACATACATTCCAAGGTTTTCCACTACCAGAGATCGCCTTACATGCATCAAATAGTAGAATGCCCGTAGAATGTATGGTATTTCTCACAGTCCTATTTATCAAGGTCCCCTGGGAGTTACTGTTCCGAATTACCAACCAAATTGTATGGGGTTGGAATTGGGGATCAAAACATTTAGGCTCTCCTGATATTGGTTTGCACACACTGTAATCTATATCTAAATATCTACACTTAGATACAGATCCCCTACACTCATACTGTGAGTGCCAAATGAGAGTTTGGGATATTTGGTTACCTGTTTTTGTAGTCTTAATGCAGCTAACACAACTCTGTATGTCCTCACCTTTAACTTCCTGAAAAATCACAAAAATGCCTAAACACATAATATAACATATTATTTCAGAAGTCCTCATTTCTACTCTTTGACCGGTCAACGGCACCTCAGCTTCCCGATTGTGAGGGCTGCAAGGATTGTCGTTCTTCTGATCCTCACTTTTCTTCAGAGGTCCCTTCGAGACTCTCTGGCTATGACACGTAGGTAGGTGGTCAGGCTTTATTATTGCCGTCAAAACACCTACTTGCTGATATCTGTTGTTACTTTCAACTAAGGTGTCCCAATATCTCCTCTTATTATTTCTCACTCCGACTGAGCTACCCGCTTTAACCGGATCTTGCAAGGATTTTCAGAATCTGGAATAGCTTGCCCAGAATCTGCCGCTGGTTTAACCCTAGAATGATGAATCCACAGAGTCACTTCTGCCACCTTTACAGCTGTTGGAGTAGATAAAAGGACCCCTCCACTTTGGACCTAATGGAACAATATTCCATTCTTTTATCCACACTTGATCTCCCGGTTGATAGGAATGAACAGGTGGATATATGTTCACAGGTAACATATCTTGCACCCATTTCTGTACTTCCTCCATAGTTTTAACCAACTCTACAACCTGCTGCCGAGTAATTCCTTCACCCAACTGATTCAAGTTCCCCCTTAGATTACTGAGTATGGGAGGTGAACGCCCATACACGATTTCAAAGGAAGACAGACCCATTCTTCTGGTAGGAGTACTACGTATCCGCAAAAGGACATTCCACTTGAGCTGAGTTTCCTGACACATTTTAGCCAATTGGGTTTTTATTGTTCTGTTCATCCTTTCCACCTTTCCAGAACTCTGAGGTCTATATGCTGTATGAAGTTTCCACTTAATACCAAGCACATGAGTCAATTGTTGTAAACACTGATGGATAAAGGCTGGACCATTGTCTGAACCGATAGAACGTGGAAGTCCATATCTGGGTATAACTTCTCGCAACAGAAATCGTACAACTTCTCCTGCCTTTTCTGTACGAGTTGGACAAGCTTCTACCCAACCTGAGTAGGTACACACAGCTACCAACAAGTAATGATATCCCCCAGATTTAGGCATTACAGTGTAGTCTATTTGCAAATCTGACATTGGGAGTCCTCCCATATATTGAACTCCAGGGGGTTTGACAGGGCCTTGTCTTGCATTGTTTTGAGCACACAAAACACATCTTCGAACAGTAGCTCGAGTAAGATTGGTATGTAGAAATGTTTCCTGAGAGATTCTTCCATACTACCTCTTCCTGAATGTGTACCATTATGGAAGTTCTGAACAATCTCTATAGCCGGAATATGTCGGAATAACTATTCTTCCATCTTCTAACTGATTCCAATTATTCTCCAAGTATTTCCCAGCTTCATTCTTCAACCACTCCATCTCTTGGGTTGTGTATATGTATCGGAGTCCATTGAGACAGAGGTGCCAGCACAAGAGCAGCAACATACCCCACATATTCCTCTTGCATGGATTCAGCTGCATGTTTTGCTGCACTATCAGCAATGCGATTTTCTTTTACTACATCACTATCACCTTTCAGATGTGCCCTGCAATGTATAATACCGACTTCCTTCGGTTCCCATACCGCCTCTAACAGTTGGAGTATTTCTGCTGCATACTTGATTTCTTTCCCTTCTGAATTCAACAATCCCCTTTCTTTATACAGTGCTCCATGGGCATGGGTGGTTAGAAAAGTGTATTTCGAATCTGTGTAAATATTCACTCTCAACCCTTCAGCTAATTGCAAGGCCCTTGTTAATGCAATCAGTTCCGCCTTCTGTGCTGATGTCCCTTTCGACAGCGGCCGTGCTTCTATCACCTTGTCTATGGTTGTTACCGCATACCCTGCATAACTACTACCATCCGTATAATACTGTATGTCCGGATTCTGGATGGGGAAATCATGAAGATCAGGCCTACTTGAAAACACTTCATCCATTATCTCCAAACAATCATGTTGACTTTCAGTAGTCTGGGGCAGAAGGGTAGCTGGATTCAAATTATTGAATTATTATAGTTTCGAGGGGTACTCTTGGATTTTCACACAACATAGCTTGATATTTGGTCATTCAACTGTTGCTAAACCAGTGATTTCCTTTGTAATCCAATAGGGTCTGTACAGCATGGGGTACTCGCACATAGAGTTCCTGACCCAATGTGAGCTTGTCAGCTTCTGCTTCCAACAGGGCAGCGGCGGCCACTGCTCGCAGACAAGGTGGAAGACCACTGGCCACTGCATCCAACTGTTTGGAATATAAGCTACAGATCTTTGCCATGATCCCAAATACTGAGTTAATACTCCCTCAGCCATTCTTCTTTGCTCATGTACGTACAGATAGAAAGGACGCGTGTGATCTGGTAGATCTAGGGCTGGGGCACTCATAAGTGCTTTCTTGACATCCTCAAATGACTTCTGTTGTTCAGAGGTCCACAAAAAGGGTCATATTCTGTGCCTTTCACAGCTTCATATAGAGGTTTTGCCAGTATCGCATAATTAGGAATCCATATCCTACAGAATCCTGCTGCTCCTAAGAATTCTCGCACTTGTCTTCTATTCTTAGGTATAGATATCCAACACACTGCTTCTTTTCTATCAGGTCCCATTATTTTTTGACCTTCGGAAATATGGAATACTAAATATTTAACAGTTGACTGGCACAATTGCGCTTTCTTCCTTGATACCTTGTATCCTGCTCTCCATAGAATGTGAAGCAAATCATAAGTTGCTTGTTGGCATATCTCTTTAGTAACAGCTGCTATCAAAAGATCATCCACTTATTGAAGCAATACACATTCTCCTGGGATGGACTTGAAATCTTGCAAATCCTGACTTAATGCAGATCCAAATAGGGTAGGTGAATTCTTGAACCCTTGAGGTAGTCTGGTCCAGGTCATCTGACGCTTTGAACCTGTAACAGCATCTTCCCATTGGAAAGCAAAGATACACTAACTCTCAGCAGCAATCTGAAGGCAAAAGAAAGCATCCTTAAGGTCTAGAACTGTGAAGTAAGTTGCCCCACCTGGTATCAAAGCAAGCAGATTATAAGGGCTGGGTACAACTGGGTGTATATTGACTACTGAATCATTAACTGCTCTCAAATCTTGTACAGGATGATATTCATCTGATCCTGGTTTCTGAACAGGTAATAATGGAGTGTTCCAGGGGGAAGTACAGAATTTTAGGATGCCATACCTTACGAACTTATCCAAGTAGGTCTGTATGTTTTTCTTAGCCTTTTGAGGTATATGATACTGACGTAGGCTCACAGGATAGGCCCCAAGCTTTAGTTCAATATGTATTGGAGGAATATTACGAGCAAGCCCAGGTGGATTACTCTCTGCCCATACTCCTGGAATGTCAAATAAAGGTTCATCACTCTTAGGGTTTACACTTGTCATTATGGAGTAGAAGCGCCATTCTTCTTCCCTTGGCACCGATACCGCCATTATGCCTGGTAATCCATTAAACCTCAGAGACGTTGATCCATTGGGTAGAAAAGTTATCTGGGCTTGTAGCTTCGATAATAAATATCGTCCTAGAAGTTGAATCGGACACTCTGGCATATATAGGAACTGGTACTTCACCAAATGTCCTCCCAGAATGCAAGTGCGACTTTTAAGAACCGGTCTAGCTGCGCTTCTCCCAGTAGTTAGAGTTTTTTGTGAAGGCGGAGCCACCAGTTTAGTCACCACGGAATGTTCAGCACCAGTGTCAATCATGAAAGAACTTCTCTTTCCCCCTATTGCTATATCGAAAATAGGCTCCACTTGGCCAAGGGGGATGGAGCCCGGTCGGTATCAATAGTCTTCCATGATAGTGTCAGCCAGACCCACAAAATCTCTATCCTCTCTATCTCTTGGTCTCTGAGTAGGTGGATAATATCTATCTCCTTGAACACTCCCTCTACTATTCCTACCGTTCCTCCCAAAACGTCCTCTTCCTCTATAATTACCACTATAACTTCCCCGTACTCTTCTCTCTCCTTGTCTATTATTTTCATAATGCTCTCTCTGTGGACATTCATTCTTCCAATGTTCTTCCACGCTACAAAACGCACATTGATTCCTACTTAAAGATCCCTTACTCAGCCTATTCTCGACTCCTTTATTCACTTCCCTTCCCTGTCTTTCTACACTTGTGATAGCTACTGCTAGCATATCTGCCTTCTTCCTCATTTTACGTTCTTCCTCCCGCTTTATCTCAGTTTCCCTATTCAGATACACTTTATTTGCACTCTCTATTAGCTGTGATATGGACATCCCTACAAATCCCCCTAACTTTTGCAATTTTCTTTTAATATCACCTTGGGCCTGGCTGACAAATGCTGAGTCGATCATTCGAGAATTCTCAGGGACCTCTTGATTAAGAGGAGTATACAATCTATATGACTCCAATAATCTTTCATAAAAGGCACTAGGTGACTCATCAATCTTTTGCAACACCTCAGCCATCTTTGACATATTGATTGCCTTCTTCCCTCCTGCCTTCATGCCAGCAATAATGGCTTCCAGATAAGCCCTTAATTGGGGCATGTCAGCACCATTCACATTCCAATTTGGGTCAACATTTGGATAATGGGCTGCAGCCCATGCAGCTGGATTGGCCTGATTTTGAGTACGGGCCGTTTCCTCAAGCGCTTTAATAGCCGCTTGATTAATCCGGGTCCTTTCCTCACAATTGAATAAAGTTAATAATAATTGCTGGCAATCGGCCCAGGTGGGATTGTGTGTTTGTACAATAGAGGTAACCAAATCTGTCATAACTTGAGGTTTGTCGGTATATGAAGAGTTATGAGTCTTCCAATTAAATAGATCAGTTGTGGTGAAGGGGACATAGACAAACACTGGATCTGCCCGTTGTATTTGGCCATTTTCGTCAACGTGTGTAGGGCCCGGTGTAAGTCGGAGGGGCATTTGGTAATGTCGGGGTTGAAGGGAACCAGTCATCAGTCGGGTTAATATAGGACTTCCGCGAGGCTGTTTTATAGTAAGTTCCGGTCTAGGGGTAGTAAGGTAAGGAGAATGAGGAGGGTTAATTTTACAGGGCGGAAGTTCAGTCAACAGGATGATGCGGGCCAGGCTGGGAGGAGCCTGACCAGGAACCAGAAGTGCAGTTAATTCCGGATATATAGAACTAGTGGAGGTAGGTATCGAAAGGGGAGGACTCAGGGCAAGTGGGCTGGGCTCTAAACTAGATGAATGAGTGGGCAGGGATAATGGGAAAGGGGGAGTGGCAACACCAGCAGCACCTCCTATAACCTTAGAGGAGGAGTAAGGGGGTGGGGAGGGAAGTTAAGACTCAGAGGGAGAGTCTAAAATGGGCGGGGTTGCGACCCTGATGGACAGGCGAGTCCTGGCCACCATGAGGCGACATTGCTCCTTGTGGCATACCTTAATTCATTTAGGCAATTCTTCCACAATCTGTTTCCAACAATCAATATACGGAAACTGATCATGGAATTCAGGCCTACTAGATACAACCGCGTGCACACGTTGCACTAGAGTTAGATCAAGACTACCATGTGGAGGCCATGTGGTAACCAAGATAGGCCACTACATAATGTAGTCAAACGCTTTGGGGATAATTTCACCCCAAAATCACACACTTTATATCCCTTTGCAAAGTTTTTCAACATACACGACAATGGATCATCTTTGAGTCAGACGCTCCCATACTGGCAATGGAGCGTCTAATACAAAGAAACACAATACCCCAAACACACTTCCAACGATCACACTTGTTTCCCTGGCAACAGCACCACGTGGCACAGTTGCTAGGCCAAACACACATGAAAACACGCAGAGAATTCTCTTACATACAGTGATATCACGATGTCTCACTCACAAAGATTTACCAAACACTAGATACTTATCTCTGTAACTATAAATCAAACCCTACAATTATCCATATTATAAATCAACTTTTAACTAACCGACTATATCACATTCTAGTAACTTCATCTTTACAATCAGTGGTTATGGTACGGTTAGCAAGTGGTTATAATACAGTTTTAAAGTCACAGATCAGTTAGTAACAGTTATGGTGTTACACATATAACATAAGACAACAGTTTTTAGTAATTTTTACACAACGACAGTAGTTATAGTACATGTTAATGGTTATAATACCATGCGCTATTATACAGTATACACACAATTTACACTCCCACTAGACGGCAGAGCTCAAGCTTTCTAGCAGGACATACAATTCACCAATTCAGCAACTACAGTAAATTTAAAAACATTTACACTAATCCCAACTAATTGGCCAGCACCTCGAGAACTATCGAACTATTTACACCAGGATTCGGTTAGTCTACGTTGCCCAAGCACCACATATAGCGAACTAGTGGGCGCAATTTACAACAGTACCAATTTAGTCTATCTACTCTATCAATAGTCTAGTGGCTGAATTTACAACCGGGCACACTTAGCCAAGATAGGTTGAGAACTAGCAGACGGAATGTACACCAAAATCTGCTTAGTCTCGCCGGCCTCCCCGACCTAGCGACCGAAATTTACACCTAGACACGCTAGTCAAGACAGGACACCGGTGTCCGGCATAAACTATTTACACCAAGATTTAGCCTGACCCAAACCACCTATATTAGACGGGCTGACTACAGAGCGTCTAATTTCCAGATAAGCGGTGCGCCTTCGCTTCTTCCCTCCAGAGGGAGGGGGCAATCCAATAACCGGTTCCAAATATAAAACCCCTTGTGGGCCTACCGCTCTAATGGTATCAGTCTTACCTCTTCGTTCCTGAACCTGGGCTCACACTCATCGACGGGGCACCCCGGTACTTACTACGTAAAGCCAGATGATCTCCTGGGCAAAGCAGCCCAGTGGCGCCGAGATGAAGGGATGTCCATGCAGAAGTTCAGGGGTGCTGCCGTAGAGAACGTTGGTAAAAAGTTTACCGTCTCAAATCTCTGCGCCAGCTTCCGTGCAATGAGGTTCCCAGACCCAATGCACCAAAGATGTAACCGAGTAAACTTGCAGAAGCCAGACACAGAGAGATGGATGCAGGATTTCAGGAAGTAAGAGGTCTTTATTAACATACCGATCGGGCCTCAGATGAACTAACGTTCTAAAACAGGTCTGGGGGCCAAACACATGGAGTACATGCTTTTTATAGAACTAGAACTCCTCCCATTAATAGCTCCACCTGCACATACCCTTAACCAATCCGTGGACAGGATTTGGATTTCCTCATATGGGCAGACCACATGGCTCATCCGAAACAAAGGAGAAAGGAGTGTGATTTCAGTTCCTGCTTTCCTGCACATGCTTAGTACATTGATGACAGTATCTTAGCTACGTGTAACTAACTAACTGATACAACATACACATATGCCACGTGGAAATCTCGGCATACCAAATTTACATTTCACCGAAATTCCATCACACCTTGTCTTAATCACATACTAAAACTCCTAAATTTCATGATCTCATTCTGGATTAGCTCATGGTCATGGTAGATTGCCAGCACACGCGGCTCTGTCTGCTTATACCAACCATTTATATACCAGAACTCTGGCCATTTTAATAAGTTCACTTTGGAATCGCAAAATCCATACTCTATCGATACCATGGTGACATTCACATCCTTTTGCCACCTCAACTTTAAATTGGCTTACAAACTCTTAACCTTATACCCACCTGCAGACATACACCTACATACTATCAACAATAAATGGTGCCCAGTCAGCATACCAGACCAATTTGTCCTACACTCAAAGGACTACACAGCCATGTGCTCTCTTTTAAGGTTACACGTTAACCATTCACTACATCAAATTCATCCTGTACGTCAGGACAGAGTTCATAAAACTCTGATACGACCCTTCATCGTATTAAGGTCATTCCTTTAGAATAAGCACTGCTTCTGCAGCCTTTAGTAAACATCTCAGCGCACATCATAAACTGGGACATTGGAATCATCTGCATACTCCAGATATCCATCAAACAGAGAGGAAACTGAGGCAGGCATATAAAGTACTGGTTATGTAATGTCAGCACCTAGTAAGGATTAAATTGTTAAACTTTTTGCCCTCTTTTACAGGCCTACCCGAACATCGGTTTCGGCACATCACAAGCGACTTGTACCACCACTACTATAACTCGGCTTATTATCCCCGACTACAAATGGAAAGGCGGAGCCTGTAGTTATGGGAGGGTTTTTTCCGGCCTATAAATTCACAGGCCTCCCCTTCCCCTGGGCCGAGACTTTGTGGTTCAGCCCACCAACAGCTCCCTTTATTAAGCATTCACTTAGTGGGCCCTCTTTTACAGACCTACCCGAACATCGGTTTCGGCACACCACAACCGAATTGTACCACCACCACTACTATAACTTGGCTTATTGTCCCAGACTTTTTTTGTGTGTACGGCACATTTAGAGGAACATATGGTTATGATATAATGAAAATTAATAAGAACAAAAGTCGGTTGAGGTGTGCCAAAACCGACGTGAGGTAAGACTTGTAAAAAGAGGGCAAAAATTAAGAAAACTATTTCTTTTGCCAGACATATTTTATTTTGCAAGACATTATTTAGACATTTCATGGAAAGCTAATCTGATTTCTTTTTCTGGATTAGGGATGTACCTGTTGTATGCGGAAGATTTACAACGTCCCATGTTCTTAATGATATGTGTTGGTACGTGATTACCGGAAGCTGCTGTGGCCGCCCCAATACGGAATGAATGGCCAGAGAATGAATGTGGGTTGTGTCCCAGTCTGAGTATCAATGTGCGTATGTATAGCATGAACTGTTAGGTGGTTAGGGGTTTCCCTTGAATGGCTAATAGTGGGGATTCGGTGTCCATTGTAAGCTGTGCCTTGACTACATTATCCAATATGTGAATTGGACACCACTTGGTAGAGGTAGGGTAATATTTAATCTCTACTGGGGGGCCAGTCTGGCTCGTTTTGGTATGTGAGATTGACGGGCTATAGTGGTCTTTTACTTTAGTTAGGTGTTTTCTCTTAAGGCATGACTTAAAGTCGGATGCCTTCTCCGCAGAAAATTCCTTGGGTCTCAGGAAACCGTAAAAGGCTATATAGGCTGCGGATTTGATTATCAGATTAGTGATACTTTCAAAAGGGGTCTAGTAGATCGGAGATGTTCCTAAATAGCTTACTATCTATTGGAATTCTTTTGATGGGATTATGAATTGTTAGTCTTTGAACGCCTCTTAGGACACTTTTGCCTGGGTAAGAGGCTAAGAATGGAGCATTGTTTGGATAAGTAGTTAACATGTAGTGTTGTTTGCCTGTTAAGTAAAGTTTGATTGTATTGTATGCTAATGTTATAGATATGTGGCAAAAAGTTGTAAACGCAACCATGCTTTCTATGGTAAAAACATTTATTACATTGTAATCACGTACAAATATTTTGAACAGATCATATGCTCTGGCATTGGCTTTTTTAGTATTGAGTGACAAACCAGCCTTTGCGAGTGACCTACTGTGACTGAAAATAACTGAATTATTTTGTAGACATTTTGCGGGTCTCAAAACACATTCATGTGCAATATGTTCCTCAGCAGCTCATACTGTTAACTTTTGTCCCAGCAATGTAGCAATTCCCTCCACTAGCAATTCCAACCCTGAGTTTCAACCCAACATGGCCCAAAGAGAATTGAGAGATAAAGTAAAGATGGCTGATCGTTTTTCTTGGCAAGGCTCAAGTCTGTAACAATTTCAATGCCAGAGGTTGTAGTTACAGTGCTTGCAGACTCCTTCACGTCTGCTCACTTTGTTACAGAGCACATGCTAAAACAATGTGCCCAAACAGATTGTACCCTAAAAGATTATAGTATTATTAGGTCTGTGAACTGTGGAGGTTCTTTGGGTTGTAAGTTTGCTGTCAGATGGACTCTGAAAAATTCCTGCAAATTAGAACGTGAGAGTGCGTCAGCTGCGTTATTCTGAATGCCTGGAACTTGAATACAACTTAGACAGGACTGCAGATTTGCCGCTAACCAGGCAAGTTTCCTTACTAAGTTCATGATAGTCGTATACCCAGTCATTGCCAAAAATCGCTGCATATCCTATGGCTCCTGATGCGTCCATCCAAATTACCGGGGAATCGTCTGAGATGGGGGATACGAATAATGAGCTACCATTCCAAGAGGATAGAAATTGATGCCACATTTTTAAATCGGCTCTAGCTGGTTCGTCTAAGTTAGTTCTGTAATCGTCATCGGGGAGACCGTGTAAGAGAGAGAGAATTATGGAAATAAATTACATCCCCTGTGGAATTATTTTCATCGCGAAATTGAGTGACCCAAGAAGTGTCTGTAGCCCTTTCCTGGTGCAAGACCCTTGTAAGGTGCAGATATCGATATATGCTAAAATTCTATCTACCTTTTCTTGAGGCAGGCTAGCTTGCATTAAAACTGAATTTAGTGTTATCCCCAGGAACGTAATCTCGGTGTTGGGACCTTCTGTTTTGTCTGGGGCTACTGGAACGCCTAAATCCTCAAGCATGTGATGTAGGCTGCTTGGTGTGAAGTGGTGTGGTTCAATAGAGAGAAAATCGTCCAAATAGTGAATGATTACTGGATATCTGCATTTGTTAAGTAGGAGCCAGGTCAAAGTTTTGGCAAAAATATAAAAAATCTTGGGGCTACTTTTGGAGTCAAAAGTTAGTCTGGTTGCGAAATAATACTTGTCTTCCCACTTAACGCCATGCAAGTGCCAGAGTGATTGATGGATTGACAGTAGTTTGAATGCATTTGTAATATCTGTTTTTTACTTAACCACGCTGCCTTGCTGGAGTTAATGATAGCTTGTATGGCATCGTCTATTGTTGCATATTGTAAAGAGAAATCTTCGGATGGTATCAGTGCATTTAAACTAGGTGTCGTGAAAGAGTGAGGTACTGAAAAATCAATGATGAGTTTTTTTTTAATTAAACTTCCCTGTAGCTATGCCTAGAGGGTTAGTTCTCCAAGAGGTGAAAGGTGGGGTAGTAAATGGCCCAATCATGAAACCGTTGTCGATTTTCTTTATAGAGAAGTTCCTGTAGACTACTAGGGTCAGTGAGTGCTGACTGTAGGTTGGGGCATTCCAGAATTCCTGTGGGGAGTGCAACGAAACCCATTAGAGGTGAGAAATTCTATCTGTTCAGATCTGAAGAAGGATAATTAGACAGGCAATGTTGCAAATTAGGTATGTTTATTGGTGTAGACAATGTTTTAGGGTACAGTCTGTTTGGGCACATTATTTTAGCATGTGCTCTGTAACAAAGTGAGCACACGTGAAGGAGTCTGCAAGCACTGTAACTACAACCTCTGGAATTGAAGTTGTTACAGACTTGAGCCTTGCCAAGAAAAATGATCAGCCTGCCTACTTTATCTCTCAATTCTCTTTGGGCCATGTTGGGTTGAAACTCGGGGTTGGCATTGCTAGTGGAGGGAATTGCTACATTGCTGGGACAAAATTTAACAGTATGAGATGCTGAGGAACATATTGCACATGAATGTGTTTTGAGACCCGCAAAATGTCTACAAAATAATTCATTATCTAACTGGCCCCAGTCGGTAGGTGTATTATATTGGGCCAGTGACGCAGCAGATCTAGATGCTGCGTCACTGGCCCAACATAATATTTTAGCATATTTATACGCATATTTATAAGTCTATTAACTTATGCAAATATAAATCAATTTTCTCTCTACTGAGGGGAAAAGCAGAACAAATCATGTCCCTATACAGGCCGAAAGCCAGGACAAATTCAGGAATATTTAACCTTCTGTTCAGTCTCGGGTCTCTAGATTTCATAACTACTGACAAGTCATAGAACGTGTATGATCTGTTCACAATTACGTCTTGAGAAGCTATGAGCAGAGAAGCCAGATTAATGTCTTTCCCTTCTATTATGTCCTGTTTAATGTTTTGTGGAATTAGATGTATTGGGTTGATGATATTGGTACTTTTAGCTGGTAGAGGCTTAGCGTTACCTCCTGGGTTAGGCTTTGGCTGGACTACAGGTACTGGAGTCTCCGGAATGGTTGGTCTGTTAATGGATTCCAAATTATCCCTTTCATTATCCTCATTTGAATTTAACAAGCGAAAAACTTTGGCTTTCCTGGGTGTGGCTGAGAAGGGAAAATTTTTCTTTTTAAGTTCGGCAGTAATTTTAGGTATTGTCCAGGATCTATAGCTGGATGCTGGGCTGGCCAGTACGGTTTGCCTGGTCTGGTCAGGGTGCTGGTAACAGACAGGTCATCTCCTTGTTTGGAAGCGTTAGACATGCTATGGGTGTGAGGCAGATAACTTAGTTAATATGGTATCCGTGTGGATATGAAGTAACCCAGTTCACTAGTTTAGTGCCCTAAAGCGAAATTATATTATTCTCACTATCTTAAGTGACGGATGACACCCTTACTACTTGCCAAGTGGCTTTGAGAGGTTCTACCTATGACTTTGCTCGTGGGGCCGCTGTGCCACTGAGGTAGGTGGTGGGTTGTTGGCCTCTCGGTGACCCATATAAGATTTTAATATTGATTGGCTGGGACAAGTGAGGCCCTAACTATAACCTGATGCAAGGCGATAACTATGCGTTGGGCCGATTGGGCTTGTACCTCTGATCGTAGGAATGAGAGTTGGCCTTGCTGGACCACTCACTAAAGGCGAAGTGGCCTAAGGAATTATACCTAATTGGTTGAGGGTTTGTTAAAAATGTGTTACTACTTAACTGGGTTTAAAAAAAAAAAAAATTTCACACATACCTGCTATACGGGTAGGTAGGTATTAATTTAGAGGCTTACCTCTTTAAATAAGTTTTATTTTATAAATAAAAGATGGAACAGCTGCAACCAATGTCAGTAATTATAGTATCTTGTATAAATATAGGAGGGAAAACAAAAACGTCATGTAATCTGCTAGCTTAATTTATATTACTTGCTTAACTGGCATTGACCGAACAATCAAATGTAAATACATGAAATGCATTTAGGGAATATGACCGTAAATTGTGCCGAGATGCATCAGACAGAAATAAATGCTAGAGCGTAAATACAATCTCCTAATTAGCATTCTTTATATAGTACTATGCAAGATACACTAGCTACAGCTTTAAGGGAATGAACATGCAGGATTTTAGCCGAACGGGCTTTTAAATGATAGTAGGTTAGTGATTATATACGAACGTAATAGCCTTCAATATGTATTACAGTATGTGAGAGGTATTATATGCCGTTCGTCTGATTCTATACAAATAACATTGTAAGTGTGGTAAACGGAGCTGATTGACTGACCAGGGAAACAGACAAATGTTTAAACGAAATGCAGCAGTGTTGAACGAGATGGCTTTAACATGACTGTTTCAACGAACGGAATTTTAAATGCTATTTCACAAATGAAATTGTGAGCGTGGAAAACAGACCTAATTGACCGATCGGGGGAAAGAGGCGAAAGTTTACACGAAATGCAGCAGTATTGAAAGATAGGTTTTAATATGACTGTTTCAGACGAACAGAATTTAAACGAACGTATGCAATTTAACGAACTGGTCATAGATGCGTTTGTATAATTGAGCATGACTTACAGTTAGCCGTTTGTATGCTGGCTTCCTCTACTATACTCACGAAATTCAGTACGAAAGAAAGTTTGCACGAACTGTCGTCGGGTGGGAAAACTGACGTCAGGGTCCTGTGAAACGGAAGTAAGCAGAAGAACTTCCGAGAACGTTGATGACAGGTAAGCAGGGGCTCACTGGGTTTAAATAGGACTAATAGTCCCTCCCACAATTACAGGCCAAGCCATATATATATATATATATTCTCTTTGGGCCATGTTGGGTTGAAACTCGGGGGTTGGCATTGCTAGTGGAGGGAATTGCTATATAAACAAATCCAAGAGGGCTGCACACACCTGAACATGCATACATTATAGGGTGCTGCTGGGGCCAAAATATACAAAATACCGAATCCAGCGCACTCGCTTATTCACTAAACAATGATTTCAAATCTTAGAGATTGTGGTAGTTTTATTTAAAAACACCTCACCTAGACAAAAAATAATGGGGGTTTAGTTACATTATATGATCATATATTGCATAAGCCTGCCACACCGTCAATGTATCCCATTGTTGGCAGGTCCTATCCTAGCAAGCGTTATTTTTTGCCTAGGTGAGGTGTTTTTAAATAAAACTACTACAATCTCTAAGTTTTGAAATCATTGTTTAGTGAATAAGCGAGTGCGCTGGATTCTGTATTTTGTGTGTGTGTGTGTGTGTGTGTGTATATATATATATATACACACACACGCGCACACACACAGTAATTACTCACTACTAGTGAACTTCTTCCCATCTGTGTCGCTTCCTCCAGTGGTGTCCCTTTTCCATACTCCCTTAGTGTCCTTCTCTCTTCAACCTTCAACTTCCTCTATATTCCTCTTCCCATAGTCTTTGTTTCTTTACTTACATTCTCCCCCCCTCCCCTTTTACCCCCCACATTTTGTCCCGTTCTAAATACTTTTTCTCTCATTCCTCAATAGTACAGTAATTCACTCTCTACCTTCTCTTGTGCTTGTTTGAACAGCTAGCGACTGATGGGGCAATGGGACTGATAGAAGCGTGCACAATTCAGATGGCGCCATCTGCTGTGAGGGACGGGTCATAGAATATAAAGATATCCCTGCTGTCTTTTGCAGCCCTGGCATGAAAGTGACGAGTCCTGACATACCACATGCATACTACCAGAACTCTGACTCCCATGCAACGTGGGTGCACAATGCAGTGTGGCTGTACACACACACACACTATGTAATAAAAAAAAAAATGGCCTATACATGCAGCGGACTAAATCATCATGTACCCACTACTGGTAATCCTGTGTGCATATGTGTCTGGCACATCATGGGGGATTTGCACTGGTACCCCTGACCTGAGGTGTACCATGAGTACATGGTACATCTCATTTAAAAAAAAAATTCTAAATATTAACAAAATTCTAAAATATAGTAAAAGGCATGAAAAGTTTCAGACACCTCTCAGAACTAGGGGCCATATCGTTTATTAGCTTTTACACAATGGCTAAATTATGAGGTGCAAAAAGAAGTAACATATTAAGGATACAGGCACAAGACCAAAGCAAGTCACAAATGATAAACATCTAGACCGTGAACGAAATAACTTTGATTTAAGTTGAGCTGGGAGCAAGCAATAGGAGGTAATGATGGAAGAACCAGACTTGACCTTAACTCTTGGAAAATTGCTCTTGTGTAGTGTTAGTCAGATATATAGTCCGTACTGACACCCATGCAACTAACATGAGTAAGATTACTTGTTCTGAGTACACATTACATTACAGGTTAAAGACAGGCAGCTTAATGAAACTTGGATGTCTGCCAGAATTAGGCATACTTAAAAAATATTATCTCGGATGTGGTGGGGACATTAACACAGGGAATATGTGTACCTCTTTTGTCATGCATTATTGTTCCTCTTTGGGTATACTCTTGACATGCTCAGGGTTCTGTGGATGGAGGCATTTTATGACTTGCACATATTCAAGTATATGATACTCCCTAGTGTCCAAAAAGACCTTTACACCAGTGAAATAAGCCCAACTCATAAGCATGCAATGTAGCAGAGCCTTAGTCCTGTCCAGGACACTCCCTCTGCTATCATCAGGAACTCTGGAACAAGAAATAGCCAAGTGAATATCCCACCTCCTCCCCAGCAACTGGACGACACACCGTTCTGGGAGTACAACTAATTTTCTTCTGGCCACACACGGCTTTTATGCACTGACCCCTAGCATGAGGTCTCCACATTAAGAATTCAAGATTTTTCCTCCCAAGAGCCGCTGTTTCTGAGGGATAATTGAGTGAGAAAAGTATAATTCAGTTATCTCTCAGATACAGGAAAACATATACAGTATTACACATCGTTCAGATCCCTTCGGTGGTTCGGGAACGCCATTCAAATTAAGTTTTGACCGGTCAGCCACGAGGGGATGCCTCAAAATCGTTCCATAGAAAACAAGGCAACGAGCGGGCATCTTTCGGGGGTTTTCACACGAACACAGACAAATGCTCCCCCTGGCTGTTAGGGAGTGAATTGTCCCCTTGTTAGGTAAATCCTATCTCCCAAACGCTGTTCGTCTAGTTGGTCAGGAAGTTGGATGAGCAGCGCTACCATCTTTGCTCGGGTTCTCGGAGACGTGAGTCTAAAATTAGTTCTAGGTGTTAAACGACCAGGTATTGCTGCCTGCGTTCGGGAGACAAAATGGCTATGCACTGGACCGCATGCGTTCGGTTATACGAATGACTGCCACACAGGGAAGCACTCAAGTTAATTACCAATTTTTGTTTAACGGCCAGGGGAGGTCGGTGTTTGAAGGGGGATAAAAAGGGGGACCACACACAGTACTTTCAGGGGACGAACAAGGGAGTACGGACAACCGAACACCAGGGAATGGAGTTTGTTACGTATGCACTGGATCTGGGACATGTATGGAGCTCAAGACATAATTATCTGTAGTTACATGGTTAAATATAGACTTTACTGACCAAGTATTATAATATGTTAAAAAGGAACATATTACTATAGATAGATAAAGATAGATGGAAAATCATGTTTTATGTTTCCATAATAAATGTGAGACACAAGTAACCCATGACATAGCATGGCTCCTCTGTCTGTGGTGTTGTAAAATTAAACATTCATATCAATCATTGTGGCTCCCGGAATGATATCATATTTATATCATTGACCATTGAATGGTTTCATTTACATAAGAGTTTGCCCCTATGATATGTTATGAAATCTAATCGTTTTTGGGTCTTTTTTTTAGGTGTGTTTTTGACCTCCATCCATAGAGCTATTTCAGAATATATTCAAACATATTTAATAACTGCACAGACAAATCTGTCTTTATTATCAAATATCTGTTTAGTAGCTCAGTCCACATGTTATATATTATATTTTATTGGGAATTCCAATTCTGTCACCAAAGGGTTAATTATTGCAGCCGCAAAGATCATTCTATCCCTCCAAATGCTTTCCGTCACGTCATTTCAGGCAACCAATGGGGAACTGCCTGCTCGGACCAATCAAACGACTTCTTTGGAATTTTAAACCCGGTGCTCACGCACCCCTCGTTTCCTCTCTGACGAGCTAGGTGTAGCGAAACGCGCGCGTCAGAGGACTGTGGTGTGCTGCACTCCTTGGATCCTTAGGGCAGCACACAGACTAGCGACCGCGCTGTTTTCATTCCATATTTCTATCTAAACATATATAGCGTCTATCTTTATTTTTGCAGATCCTATATTTTTTTTATATAGCTTTATCTTGACAAATAGATCTTTTTGGGGGGTTGGAGCTAGGTGCCCTCGAAGGCACGGGACACATATTCATATAGAGGGTGTTACCTTTTATCATACTGTTATCAACTGTTTGTATCATTGGACGTTCCTTGTATATGACACTTTGTAGCATGGGTTATTGCTACTTGATTTATACATGTGTCTTCTGCTCTACTCTCTCCCTCCTAGATATTCTCATGTATGCTTTACTGTCGGTATAGTGATTTCTGGCTGTTGCCGTCCTATATATCCTCTATATACACTCTTGATATCTAGTCAATTAGTGGTATCCTTTTATTTGGATTACCACTCTAGCCACCTTAACACTGGTTTAATTATCAGCTCAACGTTTATTTAATGTTCTTATTTTTCTCTCATTTACCAATATTTATGGTTTCATTAGTTTATTCAATAAATGTCTCATGTATTTAAAGGACCTATATAGTCCTATAGCATTTTTTGACATTTAAAGCAACAGACTTTATAATTCATTGTTGAGCCACCAGGATTTCTGAATGTATGGCACACTATTAGCCACTATGGACAGGAACAGCTTTATAGATTGTGTCACATTTACTTATTGATAGGACCTATATCGATCTACAAGCTTAATTTTGGTTTCCATATTACCAGACCACACTACTGATCATTGATCCATCAGATCGGCACTTTGCTTTTCTAGCTTGACTAATTACCAGTCACTACCGACAGCAATAGTTTCTCATATTTTGATCTGCAATTATATATTTTGTTTTTATTATATTCAACGACTTATTTTTATATATTTTTATTGTTTTGGTGTTTATTTGGTAGCACACATTTGGGACACATTTTTGTAGTGTTCAATAAATCTTTATTATTTTTTGTTCGTTTTAGTGGTTCTGTCTGGCCTAGACAGCAGACCTTTTGTTGGCTATTTTGCAACCCCTTTTCTTGATGCATATATCTCGCATCATGTTATTAGATACATCCCTCTCTTTGTACTCTTCATATCAATCATGAACTGTTTTTGTGGATAATGTGGGTAAATGTGTTTCATTCCCAAAATGGTTTCCAAAATTTTTATAATTTTTTTGATAATAGGTCTTTTTTGTGCTTGTGTTCTAGGATTTTGTTTGTCTTTCATAAAAATGGACGTTTGAGTTTCAAAGCAAAAGTAAAACCACCAAGACTGAATGGTGCAAAAACAGGAGTGTTTTCTACAAGAAGTCCTCATCGCCCAAATGCAATAGGACTAACTCTTGCCAGGCTGGAAAAAGTCGAAGGTAAGGAAACATGTGAAGGGAGCCCCAACATCAAACACGGGTATCTCTGTTCATTGTTTGTGATACTCTAGGTAAATATGCATTATGATGCCTATCCTAATATAATGATGCGACTATCGGCTGCTTTCCTGTTTTGAGTTGGTTTTCCTGTTTTCCATGTCTTCTTATAGGCCCACTGCTAACTATTTGATGTAGAAATGTCTAGTGTAAGAGAATATCATTTTCAGTTTGTCTTTATTGCTGTTTTGGGAGATTATTTTAGCCAGTCAGACTATACATATTTTTATATAAGGATGTGTAATGTTAGGCTTCATAATATTGTTTAATTATTTTCTTTAAATGGTGCAATGCATATTCATAAAAGCACCCTCACACTGACTCTCTACACACTTCGTTAAAAATAGGTCTACTTTTTAAATACATCATATTGCAACATAGAAACATAAAAACATAGAATGTGACGGCAGATAAGAACCATTCGGCCCATCTAGTCTGCCCAATTTTCTAAATACTTTCATTAGTCCCTAGTCTTATCTTATAGTTAGGATAGCCTTATGCCTATCCCACGCGTGCTTAAACTCCTTTACCATGTCAACCTCCACCACTTCAGCTAGAAGGCTATTCCATGCATCCACTACCCTCTCAGTAAAGTAATACTTCCTGATATTATTTTTAAACCTTTGTCCCTCTAATTTAAGACTATGTCCTCTTGTTGTGGTAGTTTTTCTTCTTTTAAATATAGTCTCCTCCTTTACTGTGTTGATTCCCTTTATATATTTAAATGTTTCTATCATATCCCCCCTGTCTCGTCTTTCCTCCAAGCTATACATGTTAAGATCCTTTAACCTTTCCTGGTAAGTTTTATCCCGCAATCCATGAACCAGTTTAGTAACCCTTCTCTGAACCCTCTCTAAGGTATCAATATCCTTCTGAAGATACGGTCTCCAGTACTGTGTACAATACTCCAAGTGAGGTCTCACCAGTGTTCTGTACAATGGCATGAGCACTTCCCTCTTTCTACTGCTAATACCTCTCCCTATAAAACCAAGCATTCTGCTAGCATTTTCTGCTGCTCTATTACATTGTCTGCCTACCTTTAAGTCATCAGAAATAATCACCCCTAAATCCCTTTCCTCAGATGTTGAGGTTAGGACTATATCAAATATTCTGTACTCTGCCCTTGGGTTTTTACGTCCAAGATGCATTATCTTGCACTTATCCACATTAAATGTCAGTTGCCACAATTCTGACCATTTTTCTAGTTTACCTAAATCATTTGCCATTTGGCTTATCCCTCCTGGAACATTAACCCTGTTACATATCTTAGTATCATCAGCAAAAAGACATACCTTACCATCAAGACCTTCTGCAATATCACTAATAAAAATATTAAAGAGAATGGGTCCAAGTACAGATCCCTGAGGTACCCCACTGGTGACAAGTCCAAGCTTCGAATATATTCCATTAACTACAACCCTCTGTTGCCTGTCACTCAGCCACTGCCTTACCCATTCAACAATATTGGAATCCAAACTTAAAGATTGCAGTTTATTGATAAGCCTTCTATGTGCAACAGTGTCAAAAGCCTTACTGAAATCTAGGTAAGCAATGTCTACTGCACCACCCTGATCTATAATTTTAGTTACCCAATCAAAAAAATCAATAATATTAGTTTGGCATGATCTCCCTGAAGTAAACCCATGTTGTCTCTGATCTTGAAATCCATGTGTTTTAGATGTTCATCAATCCTATCCTTTAACATGGTTTCCATCACTTTCCCCACTACTGAAGTAAGGCTTACTGGCCTATAGTTGCCCGACTCCTCCCTATTACCTTTCTTGTAAATAGGCACAACATTCGGTAACTTCCAATCTTCTGGGACTACTCCTGTTAACAATGATCGGTTTAATAAATCTGTTAATGGTTTTGCTAGTACACCACTAAGCTCTTTTAATAGCTTTGGGTGTATTCCATCAGGTCCCATTGACTTATTTGTCTTTACTTTTGACAGTTGAAATAGAACCTCTTCCTCTGTAAACTCACGTGTAATAAATGACTCATTTATCCTTTTTCTCAACTGTGGTCCCTTTCCTTCATTTTCATCTGTAAATACAGAACAAAAATATTCATTGAGGCAGTCAGCTAGACCTTTATCCTCTTCTACATACCTTCCTTCTTTTGTTTTTAATCTAACTAATCATTGTTTTACTTTTCTTTTCTCATTTATGTATCTAAAAATGTTCTATCCCCCTTTTTTACTGACTGTGCTATTTTCTCTTCTGTGTGTGATTTGGAAGCTCTTATAACTTGCTTAGCCTCTTTCTGCCTAATCTTATAGATCATTTTGTCTTCCTCACTCTGGTTTTTTTTATAATTCCTAAATGCTAACTTTTTGTTTTTAACTATTTTGGCCACATCTGCGGAGTACCACAGTGGTTGCTTGAATTTTTTGCTTTTACTGACAAGCCTAATGCAATTTTCTGTTGCCTTCAATAGTGCATCTTTTAAATAATCCCATTTCTCTTGGACTCAATTTAAATTGCTCCAGTCTGATAATGACTCCTCTACCCATATTCTAATTTTAAATAAGTCTGTTTTTCTAAAGTCTAAAACTTTTGCTTTTGTGTGGTGTGACTCAGTCACTGTTCTTATATTAAACCACACTGACTGATGATCACTGGATCCTAAACTTTCACCTACAGTAATATCTGATACCAAATCTCCATTTGTTAACACTAAATCTAGTATGGCCTCTTTACGAGTTGGCTCCTCAACAACTTGTTTTAGAGACAATCCCAGTAGGGAGTTTAGAATATGTGTGCTCCTGGCTCAAGTAGTTAATTTTGTTTTCCAATTTACATCAGGAAGATTAAAGTCACCCATGATGATAACTTCCCCCTTCATTGTCATTTTAGCTATTTCCTCAACTAGTAGATTATCTAAATCTCCAATTTGTCCTGGGGGCGTATAAATCACACCTACACGAGTTACTGTGTGATTACCAAATTCTAACGTAGCCCAAACGGACTCTATGTTTGCCTCACTAACTTTTATTAGGCTAGATTTTATGCTATCCTTCACATACAAGGCCACCCCTCGCCCTTTCTTGCCTTCCCTATCTTTCCTATATAAAGAGTACCCTGGTATTGCTATGTCCCAGTCATTTTTCTCATTGTACCATGTCTCAGTAACAGCGACTAAATCTACTCTATCAGTTGCCATTATTGCCACAAGTTCATGGATCTTATTCCCTAAACTGCGAGCATTTGTAGACATGACTCTAAGCTTATCATTTTTTAACACACTTGCTACAGGCACCTTCTGTCCTTGTTTTGGGGGACAATTGGATTGATGTTTAATTTAGAAGTATGTAGCTCTTGCTCTGTAAATTACCTGCAAGAGCCTGCAGCAGCCTTGTGTGTGATTTACATTTTAATAAACAAAGCAGAAGATACAAACTTCTAAAATAAACACCCTTTCATTTTTTTTCTCCCTCATTTTATTTTATTTTAATTCTTTTATTTTCCCAATGTTTTGTACGTGATTTTCTTCTTTCCTTTTATGTTGGTTGTGTTTTTTCTATTTTGCCCATTTTATTTTTTCCTTCTTTCCTTTGTCATTGGTTCCTCAACTTTATTTTCCTTATTTTTCCATTTTGTCAATTCCATTGTTTTTTCTCTCTTTTTTAGTTTGTGATTAATAGTATCTCTACCCACAGTAGTTTTATTGATGCTGTAACATATGAACAACAAGGGGCACAAGTTCATCAATCAATGTTGTTTTACAACCGTGCCAATAACTGTAACCTCATTTATATATTTTCATTTTTCTTTTTATTATTATTTTAATCTTCTCTTTAGTCCTTTTTTTTTTTGATTTATCATTACATGCTTGCTATAAATTGGCTTGCATATTATAAATGGTTGAAAAGTAGTTAACTGAAATACAATCTAAACATTTGTGAAGAAACTGCTGTCTTTCGTGAATAATGAGTATTGCAAGAATGTACAATTCATTCGTCAGTTTGTCTTCTAAAATGCAGGTAGAGGAAATAATCATTTTACCCTATTGTAGTCTGAACATTCTCATGAAAAGGTTCTTAAACCATGCTAAAGGACCCAGTATCACTTTATTCACAAGTTTATTTTATTTACACATTGTGCTTGCCAATTTTTAAAAAAAATCTTTATTTTTAGAAGTGTTCATATGATATACATTATATATTATTAGATATATATTATATAGTACACACATTTACAAGTACAATTAAGAAAGGCTAAATTAGGAGAAGGTAAATAGCTATCAAAGGAAAGAAAGATGGAGAGCGACCATCCAGGGTGCTCCATCTACAACAGGGTTAGTTGCACCAAACAAGGAGATCAGATTTTGTAGAAATGGTGTGGAGCATTTGCAAAGTGTCCTGTGAGCTTTTTAGTCCAATATATGGCTATGGCTCATGCATAGGTAGAAATAGAAACCTCAGGGACCCAGTACAAGAATATGTTAAGGGCTCCCCGGCCTCTGTAGAGCAGAGGTGGCCATTAGGTAGATCCTCAGCTGCCATACAACTCCTAGAATGCTTTGCCAGCTGTGTATCTATTTACTATGTGTAATGTAATTTGTGTAATGTGCAAATTTTAGAAAAATTATTTTTTTACTCACTTAGGAGTAACTTTTTTTTCTTTTGTCAATGTTCCAATATGAATCTCAAATAGGAAAGGGAAAACACAAACTCAAAGGGCAATAAGTATATATACAAAAAATAAATTGATATGAATTAAAAACACGCACAGCCCCTGTGCCCCCTCATCCCCACAGCCACTGTGCTCCTCCTCCCCAGCATATATTAGAGGGATTCCCTGCTCTGTTGCGTTCATCTATGTTCAGGGACATTTTCTCAAACCTAGAAGAACGAAGCAGAGCAGGGAATCCGTTAACTCCTAACTGACCAATTCGTTCAATGACTGGGTCGTAGGAACGAAACCCGGTCGGTAAGTTAAAATGTAAAAGTTACCTGATTCTAGGGCTGAAGTCCCTCAGTGCTGACTCTGTTTCCACCTCCTCCGACAAATGAGCGGGACTGAAAGTTCATGCATGGCGAGTGCCAGTTGCGTATTAGGCCTTCCCCATAAGAAAACCACTGAAGTAATTCTTTTCTATGGGGGTTTACAAGATGCTGGATGTCCTCATGCAAAGCGTGAAGATGTCCAGAATGGTTTCATGGAGTTAAACTCAGACACCCACTAGAGGCAGTCTTGGACTGCAAGGTTTTCAGCTGCCAGGTTAAGAGGACCGGCACCAAGACTAGTTTAATAAGATGAAGAGGCCTGGATGCCTATAGTGTTCCTTTAACTTTTTTCAGTACAATAGAGGTTTCTACACCTTGAAAACTGGTGTTCTGAACTATGTGTTTTTTTGTTAATAAAGTTCCCATACACAAGATAGATTAGAAGTGCTATAGTGAAAATGAACCATTCTTCAAATATGTATTTTTCACCTTGATATATAAACATGTATCTGAATATTAATCAATATCCATTTTCTTGATTGTTCTACAGGCGGAACACTATATTTGTCTGGAATTGATATGATTGAAGGGACTCCGGTTCTTGACATTAAGCCATATATTTCAGAGTATGACTCCCCCAAAGCTACTGTCCTCTTTCCAGAAGATCTAGAAGGAAAAGACAGAAAACATAATGCTGGGACTGATAAGTTGGAAACGTCCTTTACGGCTATTCGAAACCCTCAAGCCATATCTGAAGAGCTTCCAAATGAAAAATACCCTAACCCGGAAAGAGAAACTGGCACATGTATGAGTGAAATGCCAAACATTCATGCAGAGACACCAGAAGAGATTAAAAATGGCAAGGATTTAAAAATAACAAGTGCATCATCATCTCTTGTTATAGAACATCAAAATACATGGAATGGAGATGTTCCCAGCCAATTTGCAGATTATCTTACTGTAGCAAAACAGGGGCCAGAAGATAGAAATCAATGTGATGATGGTGCTCCCAGTCAACCACTAGATTATCTGACTGTAGCAGAGAAGATGCATGAATTGACTAGGAAAGGTGTCACAGAAAGACATGAAAACAGCAACCAATGTAACCCTGATGACACTTTTGTTCCAACGTGGATAAAAGACGCACCTGTGGCTAATTTAAAGGTCAGGTTCACTCCCCACTCTGAAATGGAGCTGAGACATTTTAAACAGTGTTGTGATTCAGGTACACTTGACCTTTTTATATTTTAAGCTTTCTTTCACTATATACTGTGTGTGTATATATATATATATATTGTGTGTATGTATGTATGTATATATATATGTGTGTGTGTATGTGTGTGTGTGTGTGTGTGTGTGTATATATATATATATATATATAAATGTGTGTGTATGTATGTCTGGGGATGCTACTTAATGATATGAACATGACCCAGCAGTTCTACTTACCTATGAGAAGACTCAATTTAACCTTTCTATTGCTTCATAGACTTACCCCAAATTACAAAATTTTTTTTTTTTTTTTTTATCATTATTTATACACTGATCAGCTACAACATTAAAACTAATTACAGGTGACGTGCACCTGACAAAGGGTGGAATATATTGGACAGCAAGTGAACAGTCAGTTCTTGATTTTTGTGTGTTGGAAGCAGGAAAAATAGGCAAGCAGAAAGATCTGAGTGACTTTTACAAGGGCCAAATAGTGATGGCTAGACGACTAGGTCAGAGCATTTCCAAAATTAAGTCTTGTGGAGTGTTCCCAATATGCAGAAGTTAGTACCTACCAAAAGTGGCGCAAGGAAGAACAGCTGGTAAACTGGGTCATGGAGGCCCAAGGCTTTTTGATGCATGTGGGGTGCACAGGCTATCCCGTTTAGCCTGATCACACAAAAGAGCTACTTTAACTCAAATTGCTGAAAAACTTAATGCTGGCCATGATTGGAAGGGTCAGAACACACAATGCATTGCAGTTTGATACATATGGGGCTGCATAGCTGCAGATCGGTCAGAGTGTCCATGATTACCCTGCCCACCTCCGAAAGCACCTTCAGTGTGGAATGTGAGCATCAGAACTATGCAATGGAGCAGTAGAAGAAAGTTGCCTGGTTTGATGTTTTCCTTTAGATCAGGTGGATGGCAATGTTCTGCTAGGAAACCTTGGATCCTGGCATTCATGTGGATGTTACTTTGACACATGCAACCTTCTTAGAGATTTTTGCAGACCACATACAGCCCTTTGTGGCAGTGGTGGTGCCTCATGGCAGTGTCCTCTTTCAGCATGATAATGCACCCTACCATACAGCACAAATTGTTCAGGAATGGTCTAAAGAAAATGACAGAGTTCAAGATGTTGCCTTGGCCTCCAATTTCCAATATCTGATCCGACTGAGTATGTGCTGGAACAACAAATCCAATCCTTGGACTACCCACCTCACAACTTGCAGGACCTAAAGGATCTGCTGCCAATGTCTTGGTGCCAGATACCACAGGACATGTTCAGAGGTCTTGAGGAATCCATGCCTCAATGCATCAGAGGTGTTTTGGCAGCCCAAGGTGAACATACACAACATTAGCTAGGTGGTTTAATGTTTGGCTGATCAGTATATATAACTATTAAATTGTGCAGAATTTGATACAATACAATAAATACTTGCATGTTTAGCATCACTTTCCCACAACTCGCCTGCCGGCTCATTTGTTTACCACAGTGAAATGTAATTTCGATTGACACTGCTGCACATTTGTATAGTTAATGCAAAAAAAGCTGTCAGCAACACAAAATGCTCTTTTTAATTGTTTATATGTCAAGATATTTTTTTCATAAATGCATTCACATTTTTCAAACAGGTAATACTTATAACATTTTTGTGAATGTTCCAATTATATACAGCCTCTCACACAGCTATACACACACATATGTATGAACTAAAATGTGTTATGTTACCCAGTTACCCAGAGAGTGTGGGATCACTCTCATGATTCTGAATCAGGGAGAAGGGTCAAAATGGTCCTTCACATATGGAGGCACATTAATTACAACTGGCATGGCATATGAAATGAGCAGAGTAGTACAGCCAAATGAAATAATTCAGTAAGATCATATGTCTCCTAAATAAATATATTTTTTAGGAATCCAAGAAAGGACTGGAGGGTGCGAGTATATAGTAGGATGGGACATGGCATTTAAGTCTTATGTGAGTTAGTGGTGGTTTGAACAGAGGTGAAGGTAAAAGCAGAGGTATGTTTGTTATGTAATTCAGGTTAGAGCTCTGGAGAGCTTTGTAGGTGAATGTCAGGTTTTTAAATTAGTTCCGAAGTATACAGGAAAAATTTTTAATAATTGACAAAGGCCTGGGGTGTAGGAAGAGTGTCAACTAGGGATGGTAAGCCTGCCCGCAGAGTTAATTACAGACTGTATGAAGGTAATTTTTGAGACAGGTAAGACCAATAAACTGGATTGGTGGATGCTAAAAGTACATGAATAATAACTTGGAATTGCTGTACTGGAGAGTAACATGTTTGGAAGTTAATTGATCAGATAATTTTATGGATATGAACAATTTATAGTATAAAAATAGCTTCCACAAAGACAGTACTATTTTCTGGGTTTCCAACTAATCTTACATATGATTTGTAATAGCTATGATGCTCACTGTCACTTTTAAAGATTCGTGGCGGTGCAAACAGTCCAACCTATCCTTGGTACCATATGTACACCTCTGGGACAATCCAACTTTGGCATGTAAAGTTATTTAGTATTGATGTACTGTTTCATCACTGTTACCTTTAAAACACTCTGATGACAATTTCTGTTATTGTATTAACTATAGGTGGACCATCATTCCGTTACTTTAAGTCTTTCGATGAAGCCAAATATGCGATTTCTACTGTGTTGTCTGCAGATCCACGCTCCGTGTACAGAAGAAAGCAGTGTCAGGACCGTTTGTTTTATTTTAGCCTTGACACTATTCACATCACTTGCTGGTTTGGTGATGGATTTGCTGAAGTACTTAGAATACAGCCTCATAAAGCACACGCTGAATGTTCCAAATGATGACCAAAAACTAGAAGTTGTTATAGTTAAAGACTATTTTGGAAAGTTGCATATTTCAAAATTGTTCTGAAAAAGTATTTTTTTTCTCTAAAGACCTAATGTGCAAGAAAACCTTCCTCTGCAATTCTTATGTTATACATGATCATGCATTGTAAGGAGCTCCTCTCATTACCAATTCATTACCAATTCACAGTTGTGTTTCATTCAGATATATTTGCGACAATAAAAATGTGAAAATAAACTGAAAGTGTTGTTTTAGCTCTAATTAGTGTCTTAATTCAGAAAGGCTGACCAGCTTTGTAAGTTGGAATCTCATACATAATTATAGATTGTTACCTTTTAGTGTACCTATAATATTAATTTTATTAGTGACAGGAGGCGAATATTTTGCTTAAGTCTCTCTTTACTTAAGCTCCACAGCAGCACAGTTTAACATGGAAACAGTGAGAACCAATCAAAACAAGTAATACAGCATAGGACTCTGCTCTTCAAGCCACGCCCCCTCTTTTGAGTTGCGAATTCATCCGGAACAGAATAACCTATGAAGATAACTGACCAAGACGATGAGATGAAACTGGAACTGAGGCCTTCAAGCTTGGCAACGGATGTAAAATTGGTAACTGATGTCCACTTTAAACTGAAACGAGAGAGCAGAGTCGAAAAACAGGAATTAATCTTGTGAAGTAGACTACTAAAAACGTGCAAACCCGGATAGAGATACTGGTCCATAACATTCATAGTAGACTGTGGCTCCTAAGCAAGTGTAAGCTAACATGCTATCATCAATTTAAAATCTCCAGATGAAGAAAACAGTTGGATCATAAATCAATGTAAAGAAAAAAGCAACCATTAACCTAAAACAATCAAGTGGAGAAGAACCAATTGAGAACATCCATAAGTGTGTCTACTGACTTACCTGAGTAGAAAACAACTGGGCCTTTTATTACATGACAGGAGGCTTCATATTTTGCTGTTTTAATGCTTGGACAATAAAGCGAGAGAAGCATGGGACGATGGCCAGAAATAGAAATGATGAAAGGTCCGTTCTCTAGACCAATCTGTGGAACGGAGGATGTCCTGGAGGGACGCACCCACACTGAAGGCACCCGAAGCCGCAGCCCCTCTGACCGAATGGGCTCCGAATGAGGGATCGATACCCGCCAGGGAGAGTAACCATCTGATCCAACGAGCCAACATGGTAGAAGAGATGGTGCCGTGATAGCGGACATTGGAAATCATGAGTTGACCTCTGTGGGCGGAATGTAGAGAAGAGGTAACATCAGCATCATATCTTGAGAGGGCCGAATCCACACAGAGTTTCAGGAAGTACGGGTAAAAGACCGTGGACGAAACAGATTTAGTGCATCTGGAGATGGAGAATGAAACTCCTTCCTGGGGGGAAGGTGAATCCATCACAGTCGAAAGCTCTAACGTCCGATACTCGGCAGAAGGAGACCAGACATAATAGTAGCTTAAACTTTGCTGATAGCTGGCGAAGGGAAAGATTTTCGTTCTTGGGCCAATTCAATAGAAATCTGAGGATTATATTCACATCCCAGAGATGAGTATATTTAGGTGCAGGAGGTCAAGATAGCTTGTTGCCTCTAAGTAGTCTGCATACCAGGGGGCCACTGGGGTGACAGCGTACTGGGCGAGCAATGCCTCTTTGACTGTGTGGTAATGCTGGATCTCGTTATTGAGGATAGCCCTGAATGCCTCCGCAGCTCACCCTGATAACTTTCCTGCCAAAATGGTGACCCATTCGTCGGTGGGTACCTTGCATAAAGGGTACTGTCTCTTAAAGTCAGCAAGGTACCCATCTACTGTTTCTTGAAAAGTCTTAAATGCTGCAAAGGGTACCTTTTTTCCTTTACAGAGGACTCTCGGTTGCTGGGCTCCCTGAGCACTGGATCTCCGCCAAGCACTATTGATACTCTCGCTTGGCCCGGGTTACTGCTTTGGCAGTGGCCAGCACTTGCATTACGATGTCAGTTGGAGGATTTGGGCCGAATGGTTTGCATCGTCCTCCGCATTCAGGACCACCGTTTTGGGCATAGTGTTGGTTTGGTCGGTTTCCTGCAATTCGGCAATTAGTTCGCGCTTGGGGCGGTTGTTTGCCGTTCGGCCCCGGCTCTCCAATAAATCCTTTAAGGAAGTTCGCTTCTGTCATTCCTATTGATTCTCCATCCACTATTCTGCTGTTACATCCAGGATTAGCATGTTCTCTGGGGAAACAAAGACCCATCCCACCACTGCCACCAGATGTGGCAGACACCCCGAGAGGAAGAGCGGTTTCGCCGCCAGAGATGTTCTTTTTCCCCCTAGTGTGAGTGATGCTATATCAATCCCAATTAGTGTTTCCAATAGTGATAATCCAAGAGTAGGCAAGATAGTGTTATAGCAGGTATAGCTTTCTCCCATACATATGAGACAATACTCTATGTTGGGGATGAATTGATTTATTGGAAGCCACACACAGCCATTTATGCAACTCCCCATGCAAGGGGTTTCTTACATTGCAGTGGAGTCCCTCCCCTATTTTCCTCTTGACCTGAGAGAGAACTAGGTGAAAGTAAACAACACTTATTGAAACCACGCCTCTCCCTGCCAATACGACTTAAGGCGTTTAATATCTCCATGACAATGCATGCTCTTTACGTCAGCACGTACCCATGTCATCACAAGGCACACGGAGCTGACACAGTTGAATACGGGCGATAGACACCTGGTGTAAACTGTACCACTTATTCCTTTTATAAATAACACTGTTTGTTGGTTTATGTTATGCTGTCCTGACGAAAGTCCCGATTGGGGACCGCAATGTTGACGTTGTTTAGCAAATTTCACCTATTTGCTGGTTTGTGTGATTTAAGTTTAAGGTGACAAAAAGCAAACCGTAGTAAAGAAATCATAGCAAATGTGTTGTTAATATACTGTACTAATACTTGACCAGAGAATACGTAAACAAAAGGGCTTAAATGAGCATGTCTCGTAATTGTTGGAAAATGGTTGAATGTATATGGACTTTTTCCATGTTTGCATGGGTCAAACATAAGGAGTCAAGCCTCTTGTTGGCTCATGAATATCGTTGTATAAACGAGGAAAACATGTAGGTTTGGTGCGTGCCCCGATAGGAGTGATATGGCCGGATAATACCTGGTTGACTGAACTAACCTGTCATGATAAACATAGAGGCAATGAAGGACCACTTACCTATGACCTAAATTAGAAATGAGCGGAGAGACCTGGGTGACAGCAATTACTGCCGGACCACGAAGGGTCCAACTGGAAATACCTTATAACAAGGAGGAATACTGTGTACAGTGATAATCTGAAATCTGCCATAAACGTGAGCCATACGATGACTAAGGTAATTGTAGTAAACTTTTAAGAGACTTAACCAATATATACCTTGCAAACAATTGAGGGGTTAATACAGTAGCTGACCGGGGGAACGCTGTAGAACAAGATTAGTGTAAGCAATTAGACTAAACCAGGTGGCATGAATATGATTAACCGCATATAACGTGAAACGTAACCTGTTGGTATTGAGACAGATATTAAAAATCATGATAATGATGAACCTCTTGAAAGTATGTGAATTGTGAACCTGTCACATAACCACAACTTGTCCGGTAATTGATGGATACATGAGCCAATGTTGCCTGAAAATGAATGGATAACCCAGAGACAGATAAGTGGTAAATGTAGATAAGTGATGAACATAGCAAGGGTCAAGTTGATAAAACCAGCATATATACGGGAAAATTAACTGTGAGTAGAATAGGTGGAGAAACAGAAGAGTAGCAATAATGGATAACCAGAAATTGTAAGTAACTAGGATCAGTATCAACAAGACTATATGATTAACAGTATTTACATAGACCATAAAAGTGTATTGGATGCCAACCACCAACAACCCCTAATTAGGATAACTAAACCAAAGTAAACCTGCTTTAGCAGATGAGCTGCATGAGTGCTATGCATGATGTATGTACAGTAAATGTATTTACAGGTTAATATTGTATTTCTTAACTCTATGTATCAGCCTAAGTATGAGCCTGACCTGAATTAATATAGTCATTTGCGACACCTGCTATGTAGGGGAGCCAAATTGAATTTCATAGTATATAAATCGATATCCTATTAAGGGGCCAAATACCGTAAGCTGAAGGAGGTATTGCTGTGATGCTATGTTTAATGAAATGGCTAAATGTATTAGGATGATCAAAACATAGTTTGTTGAAACTGTGAAATAAGCCGCTTTTGGCAAGCCATAGTGGCTTCTATGAGTACGAGAAGGAGTTGCTTAACTTAATGAACCAACGCAACTGAACGCACCTAATATTAGTTTAACACCACGTGACTTTTTAATACATATTACTGTAACAGATGGAACTCATGGTACCTGCCACATTACTGCTTTAAAATATTGAATTGTGCGGGCATCACAAATTAAACATGCAAGCTCTTTAACCCCTTAAGGACACCTGACGTGTGACATGTCATGATTCCCTTTTATTCCAGAAGTTTGGCCCTTAAGGGGTTAAACCTGTTTTATAGAATAACAACAGGGCAGGTTTCCAATTCTAGGCACAATTCTAATTCTAAGCAGATGCTTCCCTTCCTATAAGCCTCTTTAGCGGTGCATTTTTATATATTTGTGTATATATATGTATTTATTGTTATTGGGTAATTTGGTTTTCTAGCTGTTGGTACTGTATGTGTTGTTTAACCATTCTGCTGTAATGCAAGGGATAGTCCAAGATCTTATAGATGTAGGACTAGCTATGTCCCCTTTGTGTGAAGGTGTATCAGTCCAAGCAGGAGTGCTGGGCAGGGACGGGTCTTTCCACCTTCTTGTCGTTGAGACATGTTTGAATAACAAAGTAATTATTGTATATCCTTATAACATACTGGCTTACTAGTTAATGCCAAGAGGCGAAACGATTAAACTTGGTTGGTGACGAGTGAGGCCCTGCTAGATGCCAAGCTGCTTGAGAGGCTCTATCTATGCGTTGGCGTAAGGGGATTGCGTGGCCACCGAACTTGTGGTTGGGTGTAGGCCTCTGTTACTTTTAAAGCATAAGATAGAATAGGAGTGACAGGTGAGGTCCTCTCTCTGTCACCAGGCAAGGTGACTAACTATAAGTTGGGCTGATGGGAGTAGTACCGCAGAGTATGAGGATGGGTGTTGGCCTTGCAGGACCACTAAACCTGAGGCGTAGAGGCCTGTGAAATTATTAACTATTGGACTCCTGGTGCCCTATCAGCCAGTAACAAAGCTATCTAAGGCAAGAAGGGTATGGTAGCATATAAGTATGTGTACCTGAGAAAAGTAAGTCAGTAATGCGGTTTAACATAAGAAGTGGATTGGAGCAGACCTATAGGGGTTAACGAGATAGTTGTAGAAAATGTGGTATGTGACATAAAATTATAGATAGCTTGTTATACCTACAGGATAAGTAGCGCAGTTAGTTTCAACCATAAGTAGGAGGTTGCCGTAAATAATAGATACCTAGCACCTAAAGATGCGATGATGTAACGTACATGTGTGAATTGTAAGTGCCAGCTCGTGCACCCAATTGAATTAATCTATAACAGACCTACCTAACTGGCGTAGTGTTGCCCTAAATCCTGAGCACCCTGTAACCTGTAAATAAACATAATATGAGTAATGCCCTTGGTACAATTATCCTATAACCTACGACCCATTTTGAAAAAAAAAAAAAAACACAAGTGAAAGCAGTAGTCCTAAATGATGAATCTAATGGTATGATGAAATATACAAAGAGTATGTTCGTGGCCCCCATAACATATTCTTCGAAATTAGTAATGTCGTCTGAACCCATATGTGGCCAATGGCCTGGGACTTTCTTGAGGGTAGAAAACAGATTCAAGATAAAACAGTAGTCCTGTTTAAGGAACACAAAAAGTGGTAATGAAAGCAAGAGAGTATTTGAGTAGCATTGAAGTAAGCAGTTAGGGAAGCATAGAATAAAAGGAGAGAGCATAGAATAAACTGTGTTGAAGCAGTATGAGAATTGAACCTGCAGGTGATTTAGGTTAAAGAACCGAGACTTAGTAGTATGAGTATAGGAATACACCAGGCAAACATTAGAGGCGCAATTGAGTGAAAACCTTCATGCAGAAATCACATTTATTTAAATGAACCATATAAGGAGACTGATGAGTCATTTAATGGATAGTGAAATTGAGGCCCCAAATGAATGAGGGGGTGATACGTGTAGGATAATTTCCTAGTGTGGGGAATAGGTACATCATATAAGAGAACAATGCTACATTCACGCATAAGCCAGGGGTGAGGTAGTATAGAATTGAGAGTGTAAGTGATTTATGAAACCGACATTTATTTATAGGATAGGCCTACAACCAGTGTTTTAGAAGCGTATTTAATAGTAAACTGTATGCAGAATTACAATAGTTAATTAAACCATACATAGAGTATCACCAGATATATTAACATATGCCTACTTGGGTTACCTATATCTGTAGTATTATGATAACCAGCTATTTATTTAGTAAAGTGACATGATATATATTTAGCAATTAACCTTATATTTGTAATGACCGCTAGAGGTCAGTATTTCATTTGTATAACCATAATGCATGGTGCAGACTAGTTTTGGATGAATTTGAGAACCGTGTGGTTAAATTATACAAATTTTTGCACAAAATGCTCTATGCGGCCATAGGGCTTTTGTGCTGACTGTTACACGAAAAGGGGAGCTTTGGTTGAAATTAAACAAAAGTTTCCCTGATCAATACAATGAATGCGAACTCATGCGAACAGACTTAAAAAACCTCCTGTTCGGGAGTTTGAAAAGAACCGACAGAACATGAAATAACATACAAAAAGAAGTATGCTACCTGTATAAGCAGTGAGATAGACCTAAACTGTGATGACATCATGGGACTGCGACGGTTAGGTTGGTATCTTACGGTTATGGAGTGTTTCTGGTTCCGTCCTCAGAGCTGCAGGCCTGGAGGGCTGAAGAAGGGACGATCCCCGTAATCAGAGTGCTGCGGCCAGGGAAAGACAGCAGGTACAGGTAAGCCACGTGGAGAATCAGGTAAGTTTGCAAAATGATGACTTGCATGTGACCCAGAAGTAGACACGTGCAAATCGCTAGACCAGTAATGTATAGGAGAAGCTGATTTTATTTAGCTTTGACCAGTGGCTTGGACCTGATGAAAAAGGGCAAATACCAACATATCTCATCTGGTAGCTACTAATTCAGGTGGCCTGATAACCATTTCAAACTAAAACATGAAGCTTCACTTGCAAAAATGATGTTGCCATTGAATATGGCATGTGTTTCCAGGATATATAAACACTATCTTATGTTATTTTGAGTTTAAATAGAGCAGGCCCTTGACGAACCAAATAGGAGCAGAGCAGATCCATGTATTCCCTACTCAATGCTATCAATTTAAAGCAGGGGTAGGCTATCTTCGGTACTCCAGATGTTGTGCACTGCATCTCCCATCATACATTGCCAGTATTATGGCTGCAATTGCATTATCAGAGATGTAGCCGACAACATTTGGAGAGCCAAAGGTTGCCAAACCCTGATCTATATCATTCAGGATTGGGCATGATTCCACCCAAAATCTTTAACACGCAATCCTAATCCCAACTCACACAAGCCATCCCAGTTAAAAAAATAAATTAAAAAAAATTCTTACTCACCCACCTTTTAAAGTAACCTCATAATTGGATATTTTGAGTGAGGGTCCAGACATCACAAAATAATTTCACAAGTCCATCTTCTGCAAGTGGCTCAAAAATACTTAGTGTGGACCTATCACTTAATTACAACATACATGTTTTCTGATTTCCCTGGAGTTGGGAGGCTTAAGGGTATATCAGTGGCAACCCTTCATTTCTGCTGACACACATATTTAATACTAGCATGCATTAGCTTCATACTCTGCTATGGGAGTTTAATGACTTTGATGGATTCCAATGTGATTATAGAAAAAAAAATGGCACCATCTCTGCTGTTTATTATTGTAGATATTACTAGTTCATCAATTTTTTTTCTTGAAGCAATGCTGTTTTAAACTGATGCCAATAAAATGTATAATTTATTATTTCTCTTTATCAGTGTTTTATTAATGGCCAACATCATGGGCAATTATATCCATGTTAATTAAGCAAGCATACCCAAGATGATTCTGCCACCAGGTATCTTAAGGAACTTCAGTAAAGATTCTAGATTTTTGCAGATGTGGCTGCCAGGATTGCAATGAGAAGATTTTGGACCAGTTACATAGCTGAAAAGAGACTTGCGTCCATCAAGTTCAGCTTTCCTCACATTTGTTTTTTTTGCTGTTGATCCAAAAGGCAAAAAAACCCAGTTTGAAGCACAATTTTGCAACAAGCTAGGAAAAAAATTCCTTCTTGACCCCAGAATGGCAGTCAGATTTATCCTTGGATCAAGCAGTTATTACCCTACAGTGAAAGATTATATCCTTGAATATTCTGTTTTTGCAAGTATGCATCTACAGTTGTGACATGTATTCTCACAATTATGCTAAAATGCCTTATGTGTTTGTTGTTAAGCATTTGTTACATTGCAAACTGCATGCAAATTATTCAGGGTTTGTTCAGAAGAAGACTATGTAATAATAAAAATGCACTGGATCAACCATGCTCAGATTACCTTATTATCTATAAGGTTTTTTTTTTTCTTTAGAATAAACATGTAATTATTATTATGTTATGTTATTATTTATATAGCGCCAACAAATTCTTCAGCGCTTTACAGTGGATGACGAGCAAACGTAGTTGTAACCAGACACGTTGGACACACAGGAACAGAGGGGTTGAGGGCCCTGCTCAATGAGCTTACATACTAGAAGGAGTGGGATGAAGTGACACAAAAGGTAAGGATAGTATTAGACTAATGACCGTTGCAAGAGAGGAATCAGTTGGGAGCTATTAACAGTAAACATTAATGTAAAGGACACCTGCTGTGGCTCAATTTCCTTGTTGTTTTTTTCGTTTTTTTTCCTTTTCAGTCTTTTACCCTTATCTCCTTGATTGGAGTGGTGATACTCTACAATAACCTCTAGAGGTTACTGCATGGAAACTTGTTTAGTTATATTTCCTTAAGACGCAAACAAAAAGTATCTTTCTTTCACGTGTTTAATTCTTTACAAAGCACAACTGGATAAACCAGCAATGGAATCTTTAAATTCTGTGGTTAACCATTCGTCAAGGTCAAGAAGACATGGCATATTTGCGAAAGCTGAAAGGGACTGCCCTGAATTGAAAAAGGAGGAAGCATTAACCAGTGCTATGACAAAAACATTCTATTTATCAAGATTCTGCTACAGTGTTGTCATGCTTCGAAAGCAAGATAAATGATAAATGACAAGGCACAAATGTTTGGTATCGGTGTAGTTCCGTATGTGCTAGATCATATTAGCTTTCCATAGAAGATAGGAGGTTAAAACTACAAACAAGCAGTTTAGTGTTTCAATAAATATGCTGATAAAAAGAAGAATCATCAACATATATTTATAAGAAAAAAGATGGTATTTTCATAAATGTAAAAATATGCTCCCCATATACCTACCCATTTAAAAAAAGGAAAATATTTTCAGGGAGATAAACAACAATATCTAATGGTGTCAGTATATCCCTCAGACAAATATGCAAACAATCTAATTTTATAAAATTAGTTATGTCTACTGTGCAATCATAAACAACTCCACCAATAAAAATAAGAATGGTAAAGAATGGAAACATCATAGCGAAAGGAATAATGTTACTGCTAGTGCAGCCATGACTGAATGATTAGATTATAATAGTCCGAGTTAGATATCAGGTTACCATAAACAAAGTGTTGGAAAAGGTGGACAAAAAAACCAAAACATTAAATAGTGGTGTTGAAACAAGAAAAAATAAAAATATTCACAGAGTAATAACTAATGGTAATGGATGTTCTTGATAGCAAGTGCAAACTATTATAAACAACATAAAAAGGAAAACCAATAAGAAGAATAATCACCAAGTGTTGTATTATTGTTTAGGGACTCTTTTCCAATGTCACAATAATGAGTTGTAGGAGACCCAAAAGGTGTTGAGGGTAATAAATATATCTAGCATATGTTTATAAGCAACCTTTTCCAGTAAGCATTTTATTCTGTATGTTTATTAATAGTACAGGTATTACAGATATTTGGAAGTTCTAGTTTATCAATACATGTCAAGCCATGTCTGTTTAGAGATATATGTACAACGCCCCCTCGTGCCAGAAAGAGCTCCTCATTAAATGTATACACACAGCTCAACTTCTAACTGGATAAAATGTTTTTAAATCACAACCCAGTTGATGGGGGCGGAGCCAGCACCTGATTGAGCTGGACGCAAACCACATGAGCTCTGAAACCAACAGCTGACAGCTATTTATTGGTGTGTTGCAACCCACTGACACCCCGACTTTGGTGTGCTTACCTTCCTGATACTGATGGGGAAGAAGGCAAAGAAACACCAGGCTGATTTGGACCCTGGATCATGAGACATCAGGGCAGGGCCGGACTGGGGATACAAAGCAGCCCTGGAAAAACAATCTATGCCAGCCCCATAAGTCATTGCACCATATATTGCTGGATGTAATATGTAAGGCTATGTCTTGCCACCCCAGATGGTTGAGTAATATATATCTCGAATATATATTGCTTTTTCTAATATATAATATTGGTCCTTTCAGAGTAAAACGTTTAGTTATACAGTAAGCATACTCACATGCAGACACAGACAATCTCACTGACACACACAAGCTCATTGATACACAGCCTCATAGACAAACAATGTCACTGATATACATAAGCTCATTGGCATAAAAACACAAGCTCACTCACTAGCAGGCACACACACACACACACGCAAGCAAGCTCACTCACTAGCAGGCGCACACACACACACACACACACACAGCTTAATGTAGTGGTTCTGGTTTCTATAGCCTGTCCCTGCAGGCTTTTCAATGTAAACACTGACTTTTCCGAGAAATGGCAAAGTTTACATTGCTTCCTAGTGACACCTCTAGTGACAGTCACTCAGACAGTCACAAGAGGTGCTTCCTGTGTTAGTGCTGCACAGTGTACAGCACCTACATTCAGGGCCTTTGCAGGCAATCCTATGGCAGAGCATTGGATTGGCTGAGATCATCAAGATCCCGTTGGAGGAGCTCTCTGTCTCTGCTCCCCTGCCCTCGTGCGCTGAGGCCCCGGTCTCATTAAGCTGCGCACTGAGGAGCAGAGACAGAACAGCCAGCTCCCCCAGCGGCCGCCAGCAGACCCAGGTGTCTGCCCGGCCCAAGGTGCCGACGGCCCACCGGGAAATTTCCTGGTATCCCGGTGATCCAGTCCGGCCCTGCATCAGGGCACTGCTATGCCAGCATGCTAGGCCCGAGAAGGCCAAAATGGCGCCTCAGGATGCCTATACTACAACTTCCTTGAATGAGGAAAGCCTTCCTGAGAACCTATCAATATTCCCACAATATTCTCACCAGGTACCGCTACAGCAGGGGCTGCTTACCCCTCCACCAAGGCAGACATTAAGGCCCTGTCCCAAGAAATCAGGGCAATGTTCCAGGCAGACATGGCAGTGATGAGGAAAGAGGTGGCCATGCTTACCAGCCAAATTGTAGCAACTAAAACTAGTTTGGGCTTAACAAGAGTGGCACAGACAGCAACAGATTCGGCCCTCAACTCCATGCAGAAAAGTAATGCCAACCTGCTGAACCACATGGCCACCTTGGAGGATAGGGCCAGAGAAAGAAATGTGAGGCTACAGAGGGTTACGGCTGAGGGCCTGCCTCACTTTCTCAGTCAATTACTAGCTACCTTGCCACCACCGAAACAGGCAAAATAGGTCACTCTGGACTATTGTCTCTGCTTACCTAAATTCCCTAGGGCACCACCAGCGGCTTCCAGAGATGCCCTCCTTAAGTTTGTGTGGCACTCTGATAGGGGCATTATTATGGGGGTTGTAGTTAATGGAATATATTCGAAGCTTGGACTTGTCACCAGTGGGGTACCTCAGGGATCTGTACTTGGACCCATTCTCTTTAATATTTTTATTAGTGATATTGCAGAAGGTCTTGATGGTAAGGTATGTCTTTTTGCTGATGATACTAAGATATGTAACAGGGTTGATGTTCCAGGAGGGATAAGCCAAATGACAAATGATTTAGGTAAACTAGAAAAATGGTCAGAATTGTGGCAACTAACATTTAATGTGGATAAGTGCAAGATAATGCATCTTGGACGTAAAAACCCAAGGGCAGAGTACAGAATATTTGATAGAGTCCTAACCTCAACATTGAGGAAAGGGATTTAGGGGTGATTATTTCTGATGACTTAAAGGTAGGCAGACAATGTAATAGAGCAGCAGGAAATGCTAGCAGAATGCTTGGTTGTATAGGGAGAGGTATTAGCAGTAGGAAGAGGGAAGTGCTCATGCCATTGTACAGAACACTGGTGAGACCTCACTTGGAGTATTGTACACAGTACTGGAGACCGTATCTTCAGAAGGATATTGATATCTTAGAGAGGGTTCAGAGAAGGGCTACTAAACTGGTTCATGGATTGCGGGATAAAACTTACCAGGCAAGGTTAAAGGATCTCAACATGTATAGCTTGGAGGAAAGACGAGACAGGGGGGATATGATAGAAACATTTAAATATATTAAGGGAATCAACACAGTAAAGGAGGAGACTATATTTAAAAGAAGAAAAACTACCACAACAAGAGGACATAGTCTTAAATTAGAGGGACAAAGGTTTAAAAATAATATCAGGAAGTATTACTTTACTGAGAGGGTAGTGGATGCATGGAATAGCCTTCCAGCTGAAGTGGTAGAGGTTAACACAGTAAAGGAGTTTAAGCATGCGTGGG